TCTCTACTCCTTCAATCTTTCCATTAAGGGAACAGTCAACTTTTTCCACAACTGTTTAAAATTAATCTTTGTACAATACCACTTTGATAAAGTCACTCAAATGTAACAACAAAATGCTCGCTATTGCCTATTTCAAACTCTATGCTTCTGTGCAGGTATCCAAAAAAAAAGGATACTTAATAATCTGATTTAATGATTGTGAAAAGAAGACTGAATAGTTAAAAAACCATGCTATATAGCTCTATTTCTTCTCATTCTGGAATGTGTCCAGACTATTCCATACTGATCATTCTGTTCAGTTCAGGCTTAATCCCACATGTCACCAATCCTCAATGAATTTTTTCACATCTGCTTAACCTAATGACAGCTTTTTCTCTTCTCTTATTATCCTTTTGTCAAGTCAATTCAAATTCTTCAGGCCTTAAAAAAATGTCTTCCACCAATGTGTTTTCATAATACCTGAATACTATGAATAAAACTAAGGCTTCACATACTATTTGTTATATTCCAACTTTACATGCAGTTGCATTTGTGTCTTACTTCTAGAGTCTATAACTAAGTAGTGACCTACAGATATTAATATACAGCATGGTTTAAAAAAAAATCCTTGTGCATGAAAAGAATTCCCCACCCTATTCTCAAACAATGTGTATCATAAAGAACTGATTAACGCATAAAACATCTCAACAGCCCTTTAATAGTATAATCCTAATAATTTTTTAAAATTCCAAATTTTATGGAAATTCTTATCTATATTTACATATGATATGTAGCTGCTTCATAAAGTCTTATTAACTTGGAAAACAAGAAGAAAATAATTTATCTTACACTTTGATTTCCTTTCATTTAAAAAATTTTCTGTGCTTCAAGCTTATGGAGATTACAACTCACAAAAACCTAAGAATTTCTGTATCTTGGCATACAAGTCACTTGCAGTTAATTAACAGAAACATTTTATAACAGTAAATGGAACAACACACTAAACACCGTAAACCACAGTAACCCTTCAGACTTCCTTCTCATTAGCTTCACGTGTAAGTGTGTTATCACTGCTAAAGGTAACTAATGCCTTACATAAATTACATATAACTGGAATCTCCAGGCCAAAGTCAGTTCTGGAAAAATTGCATAGTCATTCAAAATCCCCATCCGCAGATTATTATAAACTTGTGATACCTGTCATAAACCTCTCCCTGTCTTTACCATTCAAAGGTTTCTTTGCAGCTGCTGCTTCATCTTCCACAGTTGCCACATAATCCAGCAACCTGGACACGAGCATAACCACCCAACTGATCATGGGGATATCTAGCACTCCTGGATAGAGACGAAAGGGGGGGAAACAGTCACGTGACCCTAAGAATCCTAATGCAGTCTGGTAAAATAATTATAAAATTAAGATATCTTATAACTCCAAAATATACCATATAATTATCAACACTAACATTTATTTATAGTAAGCCTCAAAATTGAAACCTGCGGCCACAAATTGAGTAACACATCAAATCTAATGGAAGATTTAACAAATCTTTCATGGTACAAAAACAGATCCATAAGTATAATTTGAATCTAACAGGTAATAACTTACAGAAAACAAGGTATAAGAAGCTATTCTTAAACTTAAAGGGGGCTGAAATTTTTAAAAAAGCTCTCAATTTACAAGACATATAGTTTTACACTATGTTTCACAGTTTTTATTCCAGTAACAATTTTCTTGCTCAAACAAAGCTCATTATCAATAAACAGAACAGCAATGCTGCTGAAAAACTTAAACTTAAGAGCCTGATTTTAATCATGATATTATGAAAACAACATACACAATAATTTCCAAGTTCAAAATTCACATAAAGAAAAGGTAACTCATTGAAAAAGCGGTAACCACAAGGCGGTCAATCACATGAAGGCTTGTCATTCTAAAAAGTCTAAAAGTATCTAAAAGTTCTAAAAGTATCACAAAAATATCAACAAAATGTGCAGCAAAATGAATATTAAAATAAATATTTCAGAGTAGATAGTTTACAAAAACAGTATTTACAGGAATCTTATGTTTTTACTGAAGAACACTAATTTAAATAATACCTTCTGTCCTCCTATGCATGGGTAACTGTGGCTGAAGAGGTGACAGTAAGTTATCCAACAGATTAAGTAAGCTTTCTAATACTCCACTGTTACTAAGTGATCTCTGACCAATGCAGGAAAGTAACATGAAGACCCTAAAAAAAAAAAAAACAAATAAAACACTGGGTATGAATCAATTTAACTGTTCATATTCAAAATAATTCACACTGTAATTTAACAGAGTAATGACAGACTATTTGGTTATTAGTAAGATTTATATCTGGAAGCACAATGTTAAAAATAGCTCTTTTTCAGCTATTTGCTTATATTTTCTAACTTTATCCACAAGAAATCAGGTAGAGACAACATTATCACAGACTCAAAAAAATACATTTGACACATACAGTAATAGAATCTGATAGGAAACACTTGTAAACACAAATCAATAAACTCCATATATTCAGTTAGGAAACTAAAGAATATGGTTCAGTTATATCATGTAGAATCTTCTTCAATATGCCCTTCACCAGGCATTGCTCAAACTCTGAAAAGACATGCTTAATTTTTCCCCACTCGGTATGCACATACACAACATTTCCAATTTGAACACCGTGGGGATAAACCACTGACAACATTTTATTCCGGCATTTTCTAACCTACCGATCCTGTGGGAAGATGAGAAGCTGCTCGGAATTGTACAATTCCTGAAGAACATTGGAAAGAAACTGGCCCCACCATCTTTCACCACCACACAGCTGAACAAGTAGAAGACCAGTATGCAACCGTATCTTTGGGGTTCCACTGATGCACAGGTGTTTAAAAAGCTCTTCACAGGCCTGGGCATGGAACGTACTCTGCAAAACTGCAGGAACAGAGTGTCCTATTACAAGAAAGAAAACAGTAAAATTTCCTATTTAAGAGCATGCTGTAGGATCAAAATCAGCATTCCCAGATAGGCTTTCCTCCTTACCAGCAAAATCTGGTCTATTTATTTTCCTATTTATTTATTTCTTATATGTGGAATTTTAATTGCTATTTGTGAAAAAATTAGCAATTACATCGATTATACTTCTTCTATATGAAGTTGGGTGAATCAGATAGCTCTGTGTGTGTGTGTGTGTGTGTGTGTGTGCACGCGCGCGTGCGTGCACGTGCGTGCGCATGTGTATATGTTTGGGTGCACATGGTCACAGCCATATGTAATGATCAAAAATAGCTCCTGGCTAGAAACTGACAGTTCTGTTAGATTAGCAACTTATTAACAGCTTTCAGTGTTGAAATTTCAAATAGTAATTATTATTTTGCCAGTTAACACAAAGATGTGGAACATCAATAGCTGAAACTCAAGAAAAAATTAATCACAGATTTAAGAAAAACAAATAAAAATAAGGGAAAAAAATCACTCAACCTAAAAACACATTTCAAAACATATCAGAAAGGATATCAAAATAAATATTAAATAAATAAATAAGTAAATATTACAAATAAGTAAATATTAATACATTAAAACATACAAAATCATATGAAATGTATTTCCAGCCTTTTTAAGTACTTAAGCTAAATACAAACCATTGGAAGAGTGAAGAAGGCTGAGCAAAGTGTCCAATAAATATCTGATGATGGTACGTAACTGCTCTGTGGAAGACGTCTGAATTAAATCTTTTGGGTCTGATGTTTCATTTAACATCTTCCTACTTGCACCAAGAGCCACTTTGAGCCTCTGCACTGCATTATGAGCCAAATTTAGCTGAAGCTGTAGCTGGATACAGTCCTGATATGCAGAAAAAACTCGACTGTCCTCCTCGACTGCCTTGTCTGGCTTTCTCAAAAAGTACTGTGCGTTGTTAGCGCTGTTGAGAGGAGGAAGATCAATACTTTGCAAAAGAGTTTCCAGTCGATGACAAGCTAAGTTATACCTATAAGCAAAAAATAAATGAATAAAATAATTCTTGCAATGTTCTCTTTAAAATACATACACGAATACACACTAAAAATAAAATCTCTAAAACAAGTTAACATACAACCATTAGAAAGAATTAATCAATTGGTAAGTAGTAAAAATAAATAATTATTAATCATATTAATGCATTAAACATTATAACATGCTAGTGTCCTCCTGCTTTTTGCCCTTCTCTATACACTTATGAAAAGGCATTTCTTGACCAAGACATTATACAAAATATACAGCTTCAAAAAGTTAAAAGAGACACCAATTTTCTACTAACCTGCACTGTATATCCTCCTGTAGAGCAACCATCATGGCTAAATGCTGGTCAATTTCTGGTTGGTTTGCAGATTCTCCCTCTCCCCTCAGAGGATCATGCATTAATTTCAGTTCACTCTCCCAAGGCAAGATATAAGTATGACCATAGTAAAATCCTAATGGGATTTTAGCTCTGGCATTTGTACTTCCATAACGTCCAATGACAGTGATCTGAAATGAAAACTTATAAATATACATACCTACTCATCTACAACAATAAAAATCTGAATCATGTATTTTAAAAAAACTATTATAAAGATACATTTTTTATTAAAGTACAGTTGATCTACAATATTGTGTTCATTTCTGCTGTGCAGCAAAGTGATTAACTTATACATATAGTTTAAAAGGAGACTTTAAAATTAAGTCTGAATATTTTTCACAACTTATCAGAAACAGAGAGAGTGTATCAATTCATCTTCTTGAAGTTCTTTACCTTCATGAATCTGCACACTGGAGGTGGTATCAAATCATGAAGAATTAGTGAATGGGTGCTAATATCAGTTGCCACTACCAATCGCCTCCCATCGACCTCTTCTCCTAATGTCCAAATGTCAATTGACAAGGAGGCCAAGTCTCCACAAGTGGGAATCAATACGTCTGTCAATAGTATTGGTCTGCCAAAATCCAAGGTCACAAATCTCCTTGCTCCTATGAGACAGAGAGAGCAACAGCTGACATAAAAGACCGCAACAATTAACCACAAGATACACTCAAAAACAACTTGGAACATTTATCTTAAAACATACAATCACCTTACTAAACTACAAACAATTAAGAAGTTAAAAATTCTCATTCAAAAATTGTCTAAAACTTCCATCTGTATTAAACTCCAAGATTTAAGTTAAAAATATATATAAGAATAAGTTACTGTGAAGGCAATCAACTGTACACATAAGCTTATTTTAAAACTTTAAAACCAAAAAAGGTAAATCAGCAAAAACAGAATATAGATGAACTCAATAAACTACCTATCTGTTCTTCTTTCGGTCACTTGGTCTTTTTTCCTTCTAATTTTACAACTAAATGTATTAATGATGCCAAATTTTATTATTTGATTTTGGTTTTCTTAAGCCCTGTTTAACATCTTTTGGAGCTGCATCTTACATTGGGGTAAAGATGTAAAGGTAAAGTTTAAGGCCTAAACCACATGTAGGCATTACTACCACACTAAAAAATCTCTTACTAGGGCCCTACAATGGAGACAGGTAAAGCTTATCTCAAACAGTGCCTCCCTCCCATATTGACACATCACTGTCTCTTCAGCTCAGTACCAGATGAAGCAGAAGGCTTACTATTAAGGGCCACACTGAAGAGGCAGCATGTCTTCTCTGTGTGAGCTCATATTAATGAAAGGAAACAATGATCTGAGGGGAGAGCAGATTTGCATCTCACACACATTTCAGGAATAAGGTCAAGTACTGAAATAGTAGGCAGAATCATTAATAAAAATCCTAATTATTTTTCTTCTTTATTGGGTTTGGGCCAGAGAGCAATTTTACTAGTTACACTATATGGTGAAGGAACCCAAACTAAATTTAACTAATACAACTAGTGATATCTCCACAGAGCAGTTTTATGGAAAACCAGGGAGTTATCAGTAATTTTTCCTAAACAGGTAAGACTACTGAATGAAAAACATAATTCTCCCCTTTAGGGGGCTAACATGCCATAGTCAACGCCAGAGATAAAAAACCAAATCAGAGTGTAAACAACTGCTAACACTTCATAAGACTGGACGCATAAGACTGGATGATAAATTTCACTCTAAATGCCAAAAACACTAATGTTGCTACCAATGAATGGTTAGTTGGGCAGAAAACACTGTCAACATCTTTTAAAAAACTCTTCCAAAGAGGAAACTACCCACTGCAATAAAGCAAATATGGTTCAACTCTTCACATAGTGAAACTAGTACAGTACTCACTATAGTCACATTACTTACACCTGCGGCTGATTCATGTCAACGTATGGTAAAAACCACCACAATCCTGTAATTAGCCTAATAAGCCTCCAATTATAATAAATAAACTAGTTTAAAAGAAAAAAAAACACAACAAGGATTTTGTTAAGTTCTGCTGCTGCTCAAGCCCAGAAATAACAGCTGGTAGGGTAATAAGGGAAATATTTCCTATGGTATATTAGTAAACCTACTCTAACTGAAAGCACCTATCCTGATCATAGGTCTCTAGCAATATAAGCATGGTAGAGGCCTAAGTAAAACCTTAGTTATCCAGAGACCATGAAATGTTAATCCTACTCAGTTACTATCAGTAGTAGTAACTCTGTCAGCTATTCTCAAAAAAAATGGTTCCAAGATTAGAACCATGAGACTAATGCTAGTCTTAGAAATACCTCTTTAAGCATAATTTTTAGTGTAATTGTAACTATGCAGCTACAATGGAGGCAGATACTTATGCCAACGATAGCCCAAGAGGTGAGATTCTTATAGAGATCAAACCCGCTGCCTGGACAGAATGAATGAAACTATTCAGCAGCATGCTTCCAATTCAGCTTCACCAGCACACAGTCTGAGTTCTAATGTGATGTTTGCTCTTGGTAAAAAGCACTTTCCCAAGAGCAGATGTGATTTATTTGCACAGGAAAATCAAACTGCAAAATACTGTCTTCTAAGAACAAACAGACAAAGCAAAAAAATATATACTTTAAGAAAATCAAAGATTACCTGAATGCATTCGCTCTATAATAATGGACTGGTGAGGCGGAGGTTGAAGAAAATGTGAAGCATGAGAAATTGCAAGGGCTAGACCAGAACCAAGTGGATTCTAGAAAAGAAAAAAGTATAACTCTATATTGATATCACTTTTGCTCTATAAAAACTAATAACCATAAAATGAAGTTAATAAGTCTCATTTCCTGATGTATATTCTGTAATATTTTATAAAATAATCTGATTTGATATTAACAAGTTAACTGAATTTGCCTTCTAAAGTTAGCACATACATCAAAATATTTTTAAATGTCTAAGCGAACACCTATTTAAAATATAGTAATTTACCATTCTGGACTTGTTGGAATTTTTGTTATGTGCAGCAAGATTGACTGTTGGGGGATCAATAACTGAGCCTGGGAAAAGCTGTGCAAGTTCGGCATTAATCACAACGGAAACTGCTTCATTGGGTGGGGTGAGTGGTGGAGTCATAAAAAGTGGTGTTGTTTTTGGAGTGGGTGGAATAACATCAGATGGATGAATGAAGAATCCAGGGGCTGCCACTGGGTTGGAAGGCACAGAGTTGTGAACAGGACCTACTGCTGATGCTGCTGACGCTGCTGCAGCTGCTGCAGCTGTTGTCTGATGTAACTTGGCTTCCAGCTTTGCTTTCTGTAAAAGAAGTAAAAGCAACAAATATAGACTAATCCTGCCTACCTATACTCTGGGGAACACTATATGGTATATATAATAGCCCAAGAGGTGAGATTCTTATAGAGATCAAACCCGCTGCCTGGACAGAATGAATGAAACTATTCAGCAGCATGCTTCCAATTCAGCTTCACCAGCACACAGTCTGAGTCCTAATGTGATGTTTGCTCTTGGTAAAAAGCACTTTCCCAAGAGCAGATGTGATTTATTTGCACAGGAAAATCAAACTACAAAATACTGTCTTCTAAGAACAAACAGACAAAGCAAAAAAATATATACTTTAAGAAAATCAAAGATTACCTGAATGCATTCGCTCTATAATAATGGACTGGTGAGGCGGAGGTTGAAGAAAATGTGAAGCATGAGAAATTGCAAGGGCTAGACCAGAACCAAGTGGATTCTAGAAAAGAAAAAAGTATAACTCTATATTGATATCACTTTTGCTCTATAAAAACTAATAACCATAAAATGAAGTTAATAAGTCTCATTTCCTGATGTATATTCTGTAATATTTTATAAAATAATCTGATTTGATATTAACAAGTTAACTGAATTTGCCTTCTAAAGTTAGCACATACATCAAAATATTTTTAAATGTCTAAGCGAACACCTATTTAAAATATAGTAATTTACCATTCTGGACTTGTTGGAATTTTTGTTATGTGCAGCAAGATTGACTGTTGGGGGATCAATAACTGAGCCTGGGAAAAGCTGTGCAAGTTCGGCATTAATCACAACGGAAACTGCTTCATTGGGTGGGGTGAGTGGTGGAGTCATAAAAAGTGGTGTTGTTTTTGGAGTGGGTGGAATAACATCAGATGGATGAATGAAGAATCCAGGGGCTGCCACTGGGTTGGAAGGCACAGAGTTGTGAACAGGACCTACTGCTGATGCTGCTGACGCTGCTGCAGCTGCTGCAGCTGTTGTCTGATGTAACTTGGCTTCCAGCTTTGCTTTCTGTAAAAGAAGTAAAAGCAACAAATATAGACTAATCCTGCCTACCTATACTCTGGGGAACACTATATGGTATATATATGAAAATAAACATGATTAACTGGATCCTAGTGTGATAAAAATGAAAATAAGTTAAAAAATGGACTCAATATGAATGGCGTACTTCTATGTTGCATATATATTTCCTTAAAAATCTAATATTAAATTTCCTGAGTATTTGGGCAGTAGGACCTTCTCAAAGCAAAGGAGGAAAAGAAGCAGAACAATTAAATGTAAATAAAGAAACAAAATTATACTCAAAACAAAATATTAACAGGAAGTGGATTCTCATGTTGCCTAACCTACACAATCTGTCACTAGGAATTGTATAGTCCACAACAAAATCTCCAAAACATCTGCTATTATTACTAAGTTTTAATTCACATTTATTTAGTGTCTTTAAATGTTCTTTTAGGTTTTACAAGGCATAAAAATAGTAACTGTTAACACTTATGTTTGACCAAGAATATTTATAAACAGAATAAAGAATGGATTTTAAAGATTACAAAGAAAATATCAATTATATTCCCCAAGATTATGTACTATAAAATGCATATATACAATTTTTAAAAATTTAAGTATATCATGAAGATGTTACCTCAATTTTTGCAGAAAATGGTTATCTCAGATCGGTCAACCCTAATTTCCTTTATGAAAGTAACAGTCATTTGTACAGTACTTTTTCAGCTTTTGAAGTTTAGAGACAGCATGAACAAAGACCAAAGAGTCTCCAACCTGTTGCTGAAGCTTCAAAAGCTGCTGCTGTTTCTCCTGCAGCACCTGCAGCTGCTGCTCGGCTGAAGCCATGGCATGAGAGAGAGACTGCAAAGCTACCTGGGCCGCCGAGCTCAGGGCCGTCGAGGCTTCCCCCGCCGTCCCCGACGCCAGTCCGCCCGCGGCAGGAGCGACCCCGAAGGAGCTCACTGCCGAGACAAAGGGGAGAGCAGGTGAAGGCAGGGCAGAGACCGCAACGGCACGCGCTGTGACGCTGAGCAGCAGTGAACTCTCATTTAGAAATAAAACTCTTGACAGGAAATCTTAATGGTAAAGCTATATCGATAATAACAGTATGCAAGTATAAGGGATCCAAGAATGATTTCTTAGCCAAAGAAAATTAGTATACTTTCAAGTTTAAAAATATTTTTAGCCTGAAGACGTTTCATTTAATATGGCTAAAATGAAAATACAAAACAATAATCTTATATAGTTTGAGCATGAGAAATAAACTGATTTTTGCTTTACTAAGATTCTACAGAAACAACACCTCTGCTCCCTCCCCTAAAAAGCTAAAAAAAAAAAAAACAGGAAACTTTCAATTATAAGAACATCATTTAACAAGACTGCTGACACCGATTTCTCATTTTACAACATAGCCTAAAAAGAGAATCTGGCCCACATACAATATGTAAAACAGTGTTTCCTCAGAACACTAACAGGAACAGAAACATGTCCTATGCACAAATAAGTCTGGCACACACTGCTTACCCATGAATATTACAATTTTTAAAGATCTATAAAATTACACAAGTTTAAAATATTTTTACTCCCCTTTTCAATGTTATTCAAATATGTAGTATAAAAGAACTTTTTTCCCATTAAATATTTACCAGTGTCTGTGTAAAACATTTTGAGAAAAGCGGAGATAAAAACTTAATTTCATAAACTCACACAATCTTCGACAAGAGAGGCAAGAACGTATATACAAAGGAAAAAAGACAGTCTCTTCAGCAAGTTGCACTGGGAAAGCTGGACAGTCACATGTAAACCAATGAAGTCAGAACAAACCCTCACATCATACACAAAAATAAATTCAAAATGGCTTAAAGACTTAAATATAAGACATAACACCATGAAACTCCCATAAGAGAACATAGGCAAAACATTCTACGAATAAATAGACATAAATCACACCAATGTTTTCCTAGGTCAGTCTCCCAAGGCAATAGAAATGAAAGCAAAAATCAACAAACGTTGATTCAACAATGAATGAAATCAAACAAACTTACAGGCAGAGCAAAGATACTATAAACAAACAAAAAGACAACCTATGGCCTAGGAGAAAATATTTGGGAAACTGCGACCAACAGGGGCTTAATATCCAAAATATACAAACAGTTCATACAACACAACAATAAAAAAACAAACAGCCCAACTGAAAAATGCGCAGAAGACCTAAATAAAAGAAGACATACAGAGGGCCAACAGATACATGAAAAGATGCTCAACACCACTAATTTTTTTTTCTATTTTCTAATATTTTTTTTCNGAAAAAACATACATGTACCCCAATGTTCATTGCTGCACAATTTATAATATCCAAGCCAAGGAAGCAACCTAAGTGCCCATCAAAAGATGAATGGATAAAGGTGTGGTATACATATACAATGGAATACTACATGGCCATGAAAAGGAATGAAATAATGCCATCTGCAGCAAAAGGGGTGAACTTGGAAATTATTACATTAAGTGAAATAAGTCAGAAAGAGAAAGACTCACTTATATGTAGGAAAGACAACTGCTACAATAATAGGAAATGTAGAAGTTACCCTGTAGAGCTAACCTTAGTGGTAGAACTAGGGTTAGAACCAAGGGCCGTGTGAAATCAAATATAATGTTAGGCACAATGCTAAGTAAGGAACTTAACTCATTTAAACTGTGCAATGGCCCATGAGTAGGTAATATTTTTACCCTATTTCACAGGTAATGTATCTAAAACTGAGGAAGGCACACAGAAAAAATTAACACAACATTTTAAATCAACCATATCCCAATAAATATAAATAAGTAAAACTGAGGAAAGTAAAATTTACTATAAATATTTGAAAAGTAGGAGGGGGGAGGTAATCTAACAGCATATCTTGACATTTAACAATGAGTATGTTATGCCAGAATTCAAATGAACTATTTTTTTTTAAACTAAGTTATAATCACAAAATAGAAATAACAACAAAACTGTGCATAGCCTCTTACAATAAAAAAATTTCCTCTATTAAAAAAAAAAAATCACTACACTGAAGCCATCCAATACCTCATATACCATGCACAAATTCAACTATATGAGTTTGGTCAAAGAAAGTGCAATCATATCTCATATACGCTGTGTACCCCAAAATAAAATCTACTTGCTCTACCAACTGTTCCACCAAAGCAATAGCAGTTCATTCCAACTCTAGAGGGAAAATTATTGGACTTACTGAAGCATTTATGTTGTCCTTGTACTTTTGGGATAATTTAAATGACTTTAAATATTAACCATGTATACTTTAGCCTTCTACTGACTTTAAAATCTAATACCCAAATAATATTGAAAGGAAAATGAGCTAAATCACGAGAAACACATAAAAGACAAACAATCCAAGAAAAATGTCATTCTGCTACTACAAAAGCAAAGAAAAAAATAAAGAGACATGAAAATGGAATTGTAAGGTAAATCCAAATGAATACTGAATACAAAAATCATAACAATAACCTCGAGAATTAAAATAATATAAAATTAAGGTATGAAGTCATATTGCCATATAACTCAAAGTAGCGATTAAATAATGTTCAATATATTTGCACCACATGGGAAAAAAAGTAACTGGATTTCTGGGTGTCACGGATACATGTATATTATGCTCTCTGGGATAACTGCTAAAAATAATAAAAAGAAGAAAAATAGCTCAATAAAAATAGAGTCACCAATAAAATGGAGACAAAGGGAAAAAAAGAAACATCTAATAGGCAAGATGAGAACTCTAACAGAATATATAAAATACATGGTAGATTTGAATACAAATATATTAGTAATTATATTAAATGTAAATAAGCTAAATAATTGAAAGAAACAGGACAAAAAAGGTAAGTACATTCTGCTTATAAAAGACATATCTAAAATAAGAAGATTCTGAAAAATAAAAGTAAAAATATATACCATACAAATAGTAACCTAAAGAAAGCTGATGACTGGTACAGAAATATCAAAAGAAGCAATTTTAGGAAAATCAATGCTAGAGAGAGATAATACCTAACAATAAAAGATTCAATTCATAAAAGAGATACAACCATTCTAAATTTGTATGATAGCTTCAAATTGCATAAAAGAAAAACTGCTGAAACCAAAACAGACAAATCCACAAGTATAATGACAAGAATTTAACATGCTGATCTTATTAACTAAAAAAAAAAAAGAAACATAAAATAATCAATAAAGAGAGAATTTGAAGAACACAATTAGCAAACTGTATATCCAAGTGGATATACAGAGTACACTTCACCAAGCACAGACTAAACATTATGGGTGAATTTAACAATCATAACGTGAACTTCAACAGCTGACCAAAAAATACATAAATTCAATTCTATACCACACAGACCTTACTCAACCAGTGTTTAGGAACATGTAGCTAAGAAGTTATGAAAGTGAAAGTTAGTTGCTCAGTTGTGTCCACTCTGCAACCAACCAGGCTCTTCAGAACATGGGATTTCTCAAACAAGAACACTGGAGTGGGTTGCCATTCCCTTCTCCAGGAGATGTTCCTGACTCAGGGATGGAACCCAGGTCTCCCACACTGCAGGCAGATTCTTCACTGACTAAGCCACCAAGGAAGCTGAGCTAAGAGGTTATACAAAGAAACAAATAGAAACCTAGAAATGATTACTCTTTATAAAAAGTTAGGACAATGTTTACCTTCTTCAGAGAGTGAGAGAAAAATAAATTGAAGTGGGCATAAAGAAATTTGTTTACAGAATACTGGAAATGTTGTTTCTTGACCTGGTAGTCATATGGGCGGTTTGTGTTGTGATAAATTGCTTCCCTATTCAATTATTTACTGCACTTTTCTGCATGAGTATTGTATTTCACAATTAACATATTTCAAAATAAAAGGAGACAGAAATTGAGAGACTACACTCATCTTCTAGCACCTTATGATCACAACTCAGGATTTTGTCTTAAAATTTAATAAAATCCCTCTGCTGGCAACAGTTTTGATCTGACTGCAATACAAAGTTGAATTTTTATAAAAGCATAGACTAAAAAAAAAAAACCAAAAAAAGCATAGACTACTTTTGGAACGACAAGAAACTGGTCCTGTTATTTGCTTTGCAGAAGAAATGGGTAGAAATGTAAAGGAATACTTTTTTCAAATCAGATCTTTTGTTTTAAATTTCAAACCTTCTGAAAATATTACTTATAAAAATACATTAATTTTCTTAAAATAAAAAAATTAATTTCATGACAGTTCCAAAGAAAAAAGCCTGATTTAAAAAACTAAAGAGTTCTCAGACTCCCTGGTGGTCTGTGGTTCCATTGTGGAGGGCATGGGTCTGATCCCTGGTCGGGAACTAAGATTCCGCAGCCAATCAATCAATAAATCAATAAATAAAACTAAATAGTTTTCTGGAAGTTTATTTTCTTGTTATGGCATGTTTCCATGCCACACTAAATGTGTAAGTTTCTATAAAATGACTGTAATAGTCCAAGAAAACAAACATAAGTAGATATTGATCCTTCAGGCATCTCCACATAAAAGAAATACAAAATTTTATTTTAAAATTAAAACTCTCAGCTAGATAAGCCATGAATTTCACTTAGTGGTTACTTCCACAATTGCAAGAAATATGATTCTGAATAAAAAGGCACTCAAACAACTGTTAAGCTCCCTTTAAAACACGCTGCCATTCTGGACCCAAGTGATTAAATTTTTCATGACTTTCATGACTTCTAAGCAACTATTTTTACTTTCTGAAGAAACAAAGACACTCACGAAAAAACACAAACAGTAGAATTCATTCAAGACAATATTCAAAAACACATCTGTGACTATAATACAAATATAAAATCATATTCCAATATTTCTAATTACAAAAACTTCAATTATTTGTGCCCAGACAGAACTACGTGTAACACAGATCTTACAACATAAAGAAAAAAACAAAGAAAAAAAGATGTACAAAATAAACAAGTTGTCATCAATCATTCATTTAAAGCATCACCACCACCACAGACTCAAACACACAAATAGCAGGTTCATGTATCCAAAGTTGTTTTAAACTAGCTGAAAAAACAGTTTTCCCTCTTCACTCATCTCGAACTTCTCACAGACACTAACAAATATACTTTTAGCTTTAAATGCAAGAAATAACACCATGATGTGAAAACTACACACAAGACTGGCTGACAGTTGATGACTACTGCAGATGGATAATGAAAATAAAAAATTTATTGTACTCTTCCCTTTACTTTTATCATGTTTGATATTTTCCAAATTGAAATGTTTCTAAAATTCCACACACATAAAAGCAAAAAGATTTAACATAAGGTTCTAGAATGTAGGGGAAAAAACCCCATGAGTAGACTTAGAAAAGATATGAAACTACTTATGATTTTTCCTCAGAATCTCCCTCCAACCAACAAGTTTCCACTTCACACAACAGTGAAGGAGTTTCACAGATAATATAAACAGATATGTAAACTTATATATCACTTTACTGCAACATAAAATATGCAATAAAAAATGTACGTAACAAAAGAAGGTACATACCAGTAAACGTACTTGCATCATCCCTTTCTATTCTTGTTCCATCACTAGTTGACACACAAGAAAAGTGCAGCGGTTCAACTTCTAGAAGTCCAGTGAGAGACGTGAAGCTACCTTCAGCCGCTGCGCAGCTGCTAACCTTTCCACTTCCTAACACAAAGGAGAGACAGGTTTTACAAAGGGGGAATTCATCTTAACAGGGCAACAATCAGAGTGAGAATTATAGCCACTACTTCAATTTTAATTACAAAGATGTATAAATGCACTAACTTTACACAGGGCTTCAACAATGGACGTGCTGTTAAGAAAACTCACTAACAGGAGGTACCACAGGACTGCTCCGTACTACAGAGGCAGCGTTGCACAGAAGCAACCATTAACAAGAAGCATACACATTAACAAGAAACTAGAACAAGTGATTCTGATTTTAAATGAGGAACAGAAAACAAAAGAAAAATAAATATTTTAAATAAGGAAAAAAATAAGACGGCTACTTAGATTAATTTAAGCATGCAAAAAAATCAGAATATATTCTATGATATCAAGTGTATAAATGACTAAATTAAAATTAAAAAAATACTCTTAAGATATTAGCAAGATTATATTCTAGAATGAGATATACTGCTTTATGATCATAAAAATAAGTTAGCACATGTAGCAGTAAGAAAAAAAATCAAATGGTCACATCCATGCAAACCATGAACGACAGAAGACTAGATGGAAGAACACAAAAGAATTAAGAGCGTATATGGTACCATGGGAGGAAGAGGGAAATGTCATTTTTAGTACTTGGCAAATTTTCTAAAATCAGAGCAATACTTTTAAATAGAATTCTTTATCAGACAAAGTAAAACAGAAAGAGAAGATGAAAAGAGTGGAGACACAGAAAAAACCTAAAGGAATAAATTAAATGCAATACTAAACTATCAAAACCTTATTCTCCAACATCCATTTGCACCCAGCACAGGACCTGATACATGTGTTAAAAAAAATAATAATATACTGAGCACTTATTCAATAGAAGACATGGGAGATACAAGAGAAAAATGACAGGCCCTAGTTGTCATGAAATGCATATTCTATTCAAGTTTACCAGATATGAAACAAATAATTATGCAATTGAACCTTAAAAAAAAGTGCTACACTTTACTTAGGAGAAGTTCACAAGACAAGTAAGTCAAGGCGAAATCAATCTAAGTGAATGGGCAGTAAAATACTTCCAGGATGAGATGAAGAGATTCATGTGAAGAATAAAAGATTTTTATGCATCTACTCCAAGGAGGCAGAGGAACCCAGGCAGAAGAAATGACATGAATAAAATCTCTTCAGTAGAAAGGAACATGGCACATTAGAGGAACTGAAAGAAAAATGTGCCTACAGGAACATTTCTCAATCCTAAAATCTCTACACATCTTTAAAATAATTAGAAGAACTCAAAAATTGAGCTTTCATTTATATTGGTTATATATATAGATTTACAAAAGCAGAGATTTTAAGAAGAGAATATATTAAACATTAATTCACATAATAGTAATAAATTAATGTGATTAGATATAAAATCTTTCATTTTTGATGAAAAAAATCACTGTCTTCTAAAACAAAAATAACTTAAATGAGAAGTTTGGCAAAGTCTTACATTTTTGCAAATCTCTTTAATATGTGGCTTATCAAAGGTAGTTGGATTTTCCTATCTGGATCCAATCTACAACAGCATGATGATGCTTTGGCAGAAATATATGAAAAAAAACTCTGACAAAGAATATACATAGTTAGAAAAGAAAGGAATATTTTAATAAAGTATTAAATATTCAAAAATTTGAAAAGTGCCAGTTTAGAATTGCAATATAATATCTGAAATCTTGAAAAAGACCTTCTCAAACTCTGCTATAGCAAAATTAGTTGGCCTATGTTATTCTTTTAAGGAATCTTCTGTCCAAGTATGATGATGACTCACCACGCATCAACCATTTGGAAAATACTGGTTCATTACTATATACAGATCTTCCAAAAGTTAATACACTTGCTTATATAATATCAGAAAATGACACTAATATCACAGCCCATCAGAAAAGTCATTATGTATTGAGAAGCTGTCAAGCTTTCTTTGGAGGACAAAAGTTTTCCAAAATTCTAATCTTTGCTTAAAAGTTCTACTTCTAACATTGGCAACAAATAACTATCAATTGGATGGATACTGACACGCTTTTTAAATTCATTTTTGAGAAAATACCTGCCAAATAATCAAATCTGAATGAACACATTTTGTTTCTCATTCATGCAAATAAAAATGGCATTCCATGAAATAAGCAACAGAAGTTTACAGCTATAACAACTACACAAGTTCATTTTCTTGAAACAACCATGGTTCTTCAGTATGCGGCAGAAGTGTTTCATGCACACTTCCCATTTCATCACAGAATATTTAAAAGATGTGTACTCCTGGGTTCAAAATTGAATAAAGTTAGTGATTTTAGCTATTTCATCAAAGATATTTCTAAGTAAAACCATCATGTTTCTGACTCTTAAGTGTATGGGGAAGATCATCATGCTTTCACATAATCAGTACAAAAGTCTATGCAGTGAAAAGGGCAGATAGGAAAACAGTTGACCCATGGACTCCCTGAAAGGATTCAGGGACCCTTAGAGGGCCTATGGACAACACTTTGAGAATCATAGGACCACAAAAAGAAAACTAACAGGGGAAGGGAAAAAGTCAGATCATACAAGATCATCTATGCTGTATTAGAGACTTTGGATGGTACAATCTTGGGAAGACATGAAAGATACCTTGAGAGAATAATCAGATCAAGTTTACATTTAAAAATGACTGCAATCATTGCACTGTAAAGGATGAACAGAAGTGAGCCAAGAACAGATGCAGAATAACCAGTTGGAAAGCTATTTTTTAGTCCAGGTTCAAGATGACTGTGACCTGGACTAAAATCCTGTGATCGTGAGAGGTAAGAGAATGGGCAAATTGCAAACACAGGTTGGTGGAAAAATAGATAGGATCAGATGACAGCCCCGATGTGGAGGATGAGAGAGAGAGGATACAGTTCACATTTCTGTTTTGTGCTACAGATGCCATTAACTGAAAAAGGAAATGCTGCAGAAGGTCTGATGGTAAGGAATAAAAAAATAAGACATTCATATGGAGATGAATAGTCATTCTAAAATGAATATGGCTGCTCTTGTGTATTTAACCAACCCCCTGGCTTGGCCTGAGCTTTATGGTCTTCTTACAGTTTCTCTGTAACAAACTTCATTCTATCCTAAAGTGTACAGGAGGCATATCTATAGGTCTAGTTCTAACCCCTCCTCTGAGGTCTACTCATAATTTGACATGTCACTTAGACACACACTGGCATGAGGTAATCGGAGCCTAAGTCATCAAACAGAATAATTTATTAAAAAGCCAGAAGACCAGATGTATAATATAATCTCTTTCATTAAAAATGCTCATAAAAACGTGTAGCAAACAAGTCTAAATAGCTAAACATTCTGTTAACAACGGTAACCTAAGAGAGTGGAGAGGTTAAACTTGAGATATTTTGCATTTTATTTTTGTATTTTATTTTTCTCTTTTGTTTTTTTCACAATTCATAACTAAATTTAAACAAAACTGAGACTAACTCCCCGAACTTACTTATGTTTAACATGGTAATTATCATGTTACAAGTAAATTTTTTAACATTCTGGTTTACTAACAACAGTTGTAACAAGTTCAATAAGAAGGAAGAAAACAAAACATAAAGTGATCACTGTTCTAACAAGAACAGAAAAACACCAAATTCTAGCATCTGAAGAGATTATACCAATAGTGTTATACATTCAGTCCCAAAAGCAGATTCTTTAGAAGAGCATCCAAGAATACATGTAACACTGTGTGCCAAGTTTACCTCAGAAGAGTATGATAGAAAATGCAGAAAATTATTTTTTCTTTCTCCATCTTTGCTTACTAAAAACGCTTATATATTTATTTTATTTTCTGTAATATGAAATAATATGTTCTCTGATTTTACAGACAGCAAAGGCACACCAAATAAAATTGGAAAGACTACAACGAATAAACAAATTTTAGTCTATTAACATTAAAGTCATACTAACGTAATGAAACACACACAAAAGCAACAAAAAAACCCAAATTTGCAACCCTGTCAAAAAGAACGTCAATATTTTTTGATGGGGGAGTTGAGAAACAAAGCAAATAGTTTAATGATTCACAGACACAAAAGTTAATTTCCAGAAACTTTTAGTTCCCAAAGACAGAATGGAATAACTAAAATCTATTAAAAATTGATGGTATCTTAAACCAAGGTAAAAAATTCAGAAATTCCTTTAATCAAACATTTTACTACCTGAAAGGACATCTGACAAATCAATTTCATCAGACTGGACACCAATGCTGCTGTTGTACACATTTTTGCAAGAAGAGCCACTCATCTCCAAATCAAAGAGGACTGGATCGAATGGTGAACTATACAATCCATATCTGAAAAATAAAACAAGGTCCTAGCGATTTTCCTGTCAGTCATCTAATTAATAACTTTTCTATTTACTTAGCTTTAGCAATTCCCTGGTGGCTCAAATGGTAAAGCATCTGCCTACAATGCGGGAGACCGGGGTTCAATCCCTGAGTCGAGAAGATCTCCTGGAGAAGGAAATGGCAACCCACTCCAGTACTCTTGCCCAGAAAATTACATGGACAGAGGAGCCTGGTAGGCTACAGTCCATGGGGTCGCAAAGAGTCAGACATGACTGAGCGACTTCACTTCACTTCAAAAGCAGTTTTTATACAGGACAGAAGGAGACACTAACCAGATTTAAGTCAGATTCACTGAACCTGAACTGTGTTCCCTGCAAACCTATGCTCCAAAAGATACAGTGCAGAGACTCAATAAATGTGATTTCAATTAAGCTGGTAACTAATGAACCAAGACTGAACCTTCATCAGTACACTGAATCAAAAAGAGGCTTTCAAGCACCCTTCCCTTGCCTCAATCATGACACTGACTCAGCAGAGATATAAAGGTTTTTGGTAACATTTCATCAAAATCAAGATTTCTAATCAATAAAGATGATTATAAAGGTGAGTGCTTTAAATAACAGAACACTCTACTTCAAAAAGAACTCAAATCTAACCTTTAGATATTTCTTATTTCATTATGTTTAAGTTTTAGAAAAGCAAATGGCACATAAAGAATACTAGTTAAGGGCAATACATGATTTACACAGTTTCACCTAACAAAGTTTTAACAATGAAGAAACAAATTACCTTAAGTGCTTTTTCCACTAGCAAGAAACACCAGTTATAAAGATTTTTAATATAATTAGCCTTCCAAATAAGCATCTCCAGGACTTCCAAAGTTGTTAAAGGGAATTATTCTCAGAGAAAATAGAGGGAAACAAAACCTTAAGCAAATATATACCGTAACAGTTCTGTGCAAAGGTAGTACCATATCCAGAAAGGCCCATCATTAGTCATTTCATAAGTTAAAATACCTTGTCTGAAGCAAAGCCTCCATTGGTGTTAACCTGTCCTGCAACTGTCTGGACACAGCAGTAAGCAGAGACGCACATGCAGTGCTGCACCCAGCCAAATCATCATCTTTAACATAATTCAGTAAGACAAAATACCAATAGACAGAACCTGAAACAACAACGACAAATTAATATTTCTTTTCCTCATTTCTCCTTTACAAAGAAAACTTCAGATTTCACATTTATGAGTATGTCCTCTTTTCCTAGAACGATTTTCTGGAAAGAAAATCTGTAAGGGCAAATTACAAAGAAGGACTAACTCCCTGGAGGACTCTAAGATGATGCTGACAAAGAATCGCATTATATTTTTTGAGAAGTGTACAAAGTCAACCTAGTCATTTAGATTTTCAGTTAAGTGAGAGGATTCTGAGGGACATTTTAGAACAGCTAGAAAAGTGGAGATGTCAGATCCTTCAAACAATCTTTCCTAAAATACTCTTTCTCTGTAGGAAAAATTTCAAAAACAATAGATAGGAATGAGCTACAAATAACATACTTCAGCAAGTGAATGAAGTGTAGTCATTCTATATTGCCAGTTAGATATAGACCAAAAGTGATCTTAAAAGGTGTTCACGACGATGTATTTTTACTCTTTTATAAAACTTGAGATATCTGAGTACTAAGTACACCCCATAATTTAAGCACCCAACCTCTAACACTGTTTTCAAGAGACTGTTTTAAACACCAGAAACTATCATAGTAAGCAACCAAGTCCAAAACATTCTACTCTATGTAACAAAAGAGTTTATAGTTTTAGTCAATATATGGTTAAAGGCAAATATAAACGGATTCTTTGTCTAAATTAAGATACTAATAAAATAACCATTTATCCGGCTTCCCAGGTGGCACAGTGGTAAAGTGTTCACCTGCCAATGCAGGAGACACAAGAGACTCGGGATCAATCCCTGGGTTGGGAAGATCCCCTGGAGGAGGAAATGGCAACCCACCCCAGTATCCTTGTCTGGAAAATTCCATGGACAGAGGAGCCTGGCGGGCTATAGTCCACGGGATCACACTGAGCAGCAGCAGCAACCACTTATCAACTCACTTTAAGCAAGCTTTTTTTCTGATACACCACAAAGGTCAAATTCTCGTGGAATATGAGATAACTTTTTGAATGGATTGGTTATTTATGAAATAAAAGACTGTGAGAAATGTCTTCAAAATAAATAAATAAATAAATAATAACACTAGGTAAAGGGCAAAGCAGTAGCCCTTCATAGTAAATTCCTACCTGATAACTACATTCATTCTTGAATGGCATTTCCACAGTTTTTAGGTGCTGTAAAAAAAAAAAAACTCACTGGTCCCTTTCAGAAAATTCCAATTTGCCACAGACCCTACCATTCACACACTATATGTGTATGAACCATTTAACTAATTTACGATATCTCTCTGGCATTTACAGACATTTTAGTCTGTAACATCTGATCTACCATCACTAAACAACCAAACAACTCAATTATTTTAAGGAACTCCACAAAATGTATGAATTGAGATGATCTGATTATTTAAATCTCCCATAACTTTTTCCTAAAAATATTATCAAAAAGAGTATCTTCCTACTCAATCACAATTTAAAACCCCTTAAAAAATAGACAAGCTATAGAAAAAAAGAAGACTAATTGAGAAAAAAACAAAAGTTACTAAACAAATATACTGTGAGACAATTCCTGAAGTTATAGTTATTTATGACTAAACAAGTTTCACATACCACCAGTTGCTGCTGCGGGTAAAAACGACATATTATCAAGTAAGGCCTTCAACAGAACAGATCCAAATCCAGGTTGACATGGGTCGCACTTGCCATTACTGAAAAAAAATTTAAATACATTACTCAAGGTAATTAATTCTAAACATGGTGTATTACTCTTAAAAATCTTTAAATGTGTTCATACAGACTGAAAGAAACCTGCCTCAAAGCCCTGTGAACGTGCAGAAAGATAGTAGGGACTGATAGTAGGGTCTTTATAACTGTTTTCTTATGCAATAAACCACTCTTTTTTTAAACCAAAAAGAGCTAAAAAGCAGGTATAATCAATACAGACTATTAATTTTAAACATTTCCTAGATAGTTTCAGGGTTTAGAGAAAATGATGTGCACAATGCTACAAATAATTCTGGGAAAACTGACATAACTGGTAACAAAGGCCTCAGGTGAAGAATCCAAAGACAACCAGGGACAGTGAGAATGAAAGTGAGGGAAGAGCTCCCCTTACAAACTCCCCAAAATCTTCTAGTAAGCAGAGAAGCCCAGCTGAATTCTTTTATTACTAGATTTAACATGACATTTTGTCCAAAAAACCCCAAACTTCTTCCCTAGGATCTCAATAATACTCATTAAGTTTTAAAAATCCACTTACGTTATACATATATTCAACAAGAACCAAATGACCCTAGACACAAGGTATCACCTGCCAAACTACAGGAGCACCTACAAAGTATATTTTTGTCTTAACAATCACCAACCTGATGCACAAGGCTAGAAATCGAGCACACTTGTGGGCTATGCTTCGTCCTGCCTCAAAGAAGCAAACACGTACAATGTCTGAAAGACATTTTCGTGTTTTTGAAAGCAGGCTTTCATTTCCTTCCTTCGAGCTGCAAAACAATAGCAGGTGTTTACGCTCATGTTGAACTTCCAATCATAACATCCAAAGGGCAATCTGTGGTAAATAAAATCTTATTAACCTTCCAGGTCCATTCGAATGTACTCCAGCTAACCAACAAAGAATATCTAACACAAGACTCTGGGCATGTTCTGTGATTTGGCCATCATCTGCTTTTCTACACAAAGTGTTGAGAAGCTTCTCATGAAATTCTGAAAACTGCAACATGGCACATCGCTGCACTCTACAAAAAAAAAACCAATATATGTATATATACACACACACACACACACACATATACATAAATACATTAATAATCAAAAGAGAAAAATATAGCTATTTCAACCTGGTTGGACATCAAATATTTCATTTGGAATCATGAATATTACAATTAAAAAAAAAGAAGAAAATTACGTAGCACTATATGAACACCAAGGATGAAACAATGAAGTGAAAAAACAATATATACCATCACTGACGTAAGTTCTTAAGAGAAATAAAAAGCAAATAAAAATTTTCAAGGAAAAGTTAAGATTTTAAAATTTTGTGGATATTGATATATTTACTGGAAATTCTTCCTTTGTACTCCTATTATTTAAGAACAGTAGAAGAAAATGAGGTTACCTCTCTTTAGAAATTGAAGTTTTCTTAAATCTTCGGATGGTGACTGAGACTTCTTGAAGTAAGTCACAGCCCCGGAGGTTTTCAGATTTACGGGTGCCACTTGTATTTTCATTTTTAACATTAGAGGATTTTTCCTGAACATACAAAAATAAGTAATTGAATGAACAAATGAAACAAAAAGTTATTTACCATTAAAGTTTACAAATAAAAAAAATAACTGAACTATGACTACCAAAACATAAATCTCAAATTAAAATGATAGCTTTTACCCTCACATTCAGTAAATGACTAATTTACTCCATTGTTATAAAATTGTTATAAAACTACAACCATGGAAGAGACATAGTCACTGTTTAAAGGTAACAGCCCAGTGAATAAAGATTACCAAGCCAAAGTCTTGAGTCTCAGTCCCAGCTACTGCTCTACGAGTTATGCCAGCTCCCCAGTCTCTAATGTTCCCTCACTTAAAATAGGAAAAAATGGAAGTAATAGCACCTGCTCTGCCTACCTCAAAATTATTTTGGGGCTTAAATCAGATAAAGTACACAGAAGCTCTTGAAAAACTGGAAGACCTATACAAATATAAGACGGCTGGTGTTACTAATACTGCTATGGATAATGATGCTAGAGAAATAAAATCTCTAGTGCTCAAAAAAGTCCAAAATCAAACAAGTATGAAGAAACTGCATGATATAAAGCTAGTTGTAGAAAATGAACATGAAAATTATGATATATCTCTGAAATCAATTCTCAACTTACTTCTCTTCCTGCAGCCTCCCAAATGTTTACCAAAAAAAAAAAGGTGGTGTGTTACCAGTAAAGGGCATAGAAACAAATTCTTACACACAAGGTAATAAGCATTATGGTCCAAAATAATTATTAAGGCAAGTGCCTGCTAGCAATTACTCCCCAATGAATATACTTTATAAAAGAAAGACAGCTTAAAGTTAATGTAAATATTTTCTCCTTCATTATATTTTTTCAACTTGCTGCAGAGAAAAACTACAAACAAACCAAGTTGTCTATTAAAAAAATCAATTATGGGCCATGCTACTTCCAAGAGTGTATAACATTCAAAATAGCATGTAACAGTTCACAAAATTCTGTAAAGCAATTATCTTTCAATTAAAAAATAAGCAAATAAAACCTGAATGTTACCGTTTAAAATGATACTGTTTCATACCTTGCCTGCTGCAACTTTTGCCAAGAGTGAAGCAAGTGAATACCCCTTGTTACTCTGGTGTTTCAGGGATGGAAGTCTTACTACAGGACGTATACCACCATTACAGATCTCATCTGTTCCTCTTTCATTCACTGCCTTGACATGGATCAAAAACGAACGATATTTTCCTCCTGCCATACCTAGAGGAGTGGTGCAGAATGGGATAAATTATTCAATCATCAAAAAGCAAAACTGCATTTTGTTTTCATGCTGCTGCTGCTGCTAAGTTGCTTCAGTTGCTTCAGTCGTGTCCGACTCTGTATGACCTCGTAGATGGCAGCCCACCAGGCCCTGCCGTCCCTGGGATTCTCCAAGCAAGAACACGGGAGTGGGCTGCCATTTCCCTGAAATGTGAAGTCGCTCAGTCATGTCCGACTCTTCCCGAACCCATGTACTGCAGCCCACCAGGCTCCTCTGCCCATGGGATTTTCCAGGCAAGAGTACTGGAGCAGGGTGCCATTGCCTTCTCCATTTAGTCTTCATAGAGTAAGCTAAATAATTAACTCCACAGAAAGAAAAATACACTTTGCCAGAATTTTCAAATTATACTGTTTGCATATAATATGGCTAAATAAGCTTCATATATGTTGGCAACAAAAGAACAAAAAGCACAGCATTTATATGAAGAACATAATATAGAAAGTTTTGACACCTGGCATGTTTTATCCCAAAGAAGTTAGTCATTTCAACCACACAAATTCTGTGAACTATAGAAAAACAGGAAACACTGTCACTGAAGCACCGCCCGAAATCATGATGTATTATTATGTGTATCCATCCAGCCCTTTTATGCATGCACGCACACACATACACATGTGCATGCACACATACACAGCATTATTGTATCACACACTTAAAAAAACACAGGCTTTGGAGCCACTATCTGGGTCTGGTAATGGTTCTGCCATTTTATTAGCCATGTGACTAATTAAACTCTCCATGGTCCAGTTTCTTCCAAAATGAGTAAAAATAATAATAGTACCTACCCCAAAGGTAATTAAAACACTTATAAATGCATGGCAAAAGGAAGCACTCAATAAGTATTAGTTATTATCACTAGTTTATGTTTTATATATTTTAACTAAGTTGAAGTCATACCATACAATCTATATGTAAAATTAACTGCAAAAATACCCTCAAACTAACATACCCATGAGCAACCCATAAGCTGCTGCCTAAGCAGGTATGAAATCCTTCTGTGATTACAAAAGCTACTTTTGTTGTTCACCACTGATCTGCCTGACTACTGTGCTGGCACTGCACTGTTATATTCTTCTTACTGCTGCACTATTCTAGGTTCTAAAATCTCTTAAGATCCTGCTTTTAGTTTTCTTTTTCAACATGTCTTTGGCCTACATCATCCTTTTACGCATACACAAAAATTTAGCAATCATTCTCTCCAGTTCAAAGTTTTAGGAATTTGAAGAGAAGAATAGTCACTTCCACTAAATTCCAAGAAAACTAACACTTTTACATTATTGAGACTTTTGAAATACACATTATATAATCTATCCCTAATTTTGTCAATCTCATGGACAGAGAAGCCTGGTGGGCTACAGTCCATGGGGTCGCAAAGAGCTGGACATGACTGAGCAACTAACACACACACACAATTTTGTCAAAGCCAACATTTTAATTTTCATGTAAGATTTTAAGTTTCATAATCTCATTTAACACAACTAACTTACACTTCCAGCAATATGAGAGATTTTATTATATAGTTATTATACAGGTTTGCTCACCACTATAACCTAATATGTAACCTAACAAATCACAGGGTCTCATAAACTTAATGAATGAAAAAGATATAGTTAAGGGAGTACAATCAAGCTGGTGTACATACTCTAACTACAGGGAAGTGTGTGAATGGGGACAAACATTATAAAGGGAGTGCACACATTTTAAAACAGTTGTTATTTAGGTGGTCTGATATTTTCTTGGTTTACAGAAGGATCTCCACAGCCTTCTCATCTCCAATTGTACTTTAATGATTGAGGTGTCTCACTTGGACTTTTTAATTCACCCATGAGATACAAAAGTGACATAAATATCTTATTACTGCAATATCTAATCTCTTACAGACATAAGATAAAATATATACTGTAACTTGTGTTTAAGACACATCATTACATCTAATACTTTAAAAACTCCTCTATTAAAAAACCCTTAAGAGAAGATATCATAACAATATAAACAAACACCCTGAAAACACAGGACTCTAAATTGATGGAAAAGGCAAACATGCTAGAACATAATGTTTGGTTATTTGGAAGAATTCTGTATAACATGCTAAGTAATACTACATTCATCTTCTTTGTGCTTTTTCAAAAAGCACTGAGACCCTCAAGACACAGAACGTAGGATCTTAAGTTTCACATAACAATAGTCACTGATGAAAGGAAATTATCTCAGCTACCATGAAACTGATAGAATCATTCAAGAAAATTCCCCCAAAAAACAGTATCTTATTTTTCTGAAATCAGGTTATTTTTCTTAAATTTACTTTTACAACTGTGGGACTGTTTATTCTGCTTTTGTAAAACACGTTACTTCACCTTTAACAAGTTTGGGGCTTGTTAATGTCAACATCCCAGCATGCCCCGACAGATCAAGGCCACTAGCAAGCCACACTGGCCCACAGAGAATGTCTTCTTTATGATCTTCTAAAAATGGACATAATCTAAGACCTAAAAAGAAAAATACACATTTTTCTTTTAAATTAGTGTATAATTTAAAATGTAATATTTAATAAGCAAATATCTATCCCATTTACATATAACAGCACCACACAAAATTCCATACTTAGAATGTGTTCAAATAAAATTTGCTATCATGCTAAGGAACTATAATCGTTATCTGATATATTATGCTGTTTTTCATTCCCATATTATTTACATTCACCTTGATTAAAAAAAAAAAATAAAACCATGACATGATTTCAAATCTCAAGATATTAAAAAACAAGAATGCAAGTATTAGCACAGCTGTGTTCACTAAGAAGAGCTGAAAATTAAAGCATATTGCCAAGCAGAATTATAGGTTATTTTTAATTGTGTTCTTAAAACCATGTTTTTGCAAGCCATAAAGAAATCTTTGCCCAGTAGGATGCATTTGGATCACTACTCCTTTTACTGTCATGGACAACAGCTCTGTAATTTAACTCACACTGTGATTCCTCTACATCCATGTGCTGCATTTCTTCATTCAAATCAACCAGGGACGGTTTCCCATTTTGTTCCACTTCAATGTTAAGAGCTGGAGACAAAGGAAAGGTGATCTGCCTATCTACTGCTGTTTCTAGAGGATAAAAATATTAGTAAACTTAATGTTGCTTAATATCAATGATCTATGTGCCTAAAATTCTAAAATTCTCTGTTAAATTGGGAACTACAGTGATTTTTAAAATGGTTGTTAGGGGAGGAAGAAAATTAGATTCAACTGTTTTATATTCTCTTCTCTCTTTTAAAGGTGGTAAAATATTCACCTGACGAAATAATCTGCTAGCCACTAAACCAAGAATTTTTACCCTAGGCTATATAGTACACCACCTGCAGAGTTTTAAAAATACCAGTACCTAAGTCCTACACCAATTAAATCAGAATCTGTCATGATTCAAAAGTATACACACACACATACACACAAATACACACATATATACACACAAACACATATATATACACACATACATACATATTTGTAAAATAGGAAATTATTCAGGTTTCAATGTTTTTATCCCTGGTGTGAAGTAGCCTTTTACTCTGAAATTATCCCTAATCTTTTAAATTAACCTATTAAGACGAAAACACTGAGAAATAACATCTAGTTCCAAATATGTGAAGTATGTATAATCTATTTTAGTAACTCAATATATCAAATTCTAACTCAATATATCAAATTCTGAATTTGTAAGAAAGATAAAGATGAATATATTCCTGGCATTACATTCTGAGTTTTACTAATAACCTTAAAAGAATATATGCATTCCATAACAAAGTTCTTTTTACAAACAAGTCTCCTCTCACAAACAGAAATGCATTAAGTGCAGTAATGCTAAAAGTGAAACTAACTCACAAAGGAACTAACTGCCTAAAACCATAATTAAATTACTCAAGTTTATGCAATTCTGAACAAGAGAGAGTTACTGAGAAGTTCTTCAATGTTCTCTGGATAAACTTCTCTAAACAGAACCACAAAAAAGCAGAGAAGGAAAAGGAGCACAGGGGTGAGGGAGCAAGAAGGGATGTCAAAACTAGACAGCCAAGTTGAAAATTAGTTTTTTTAAGAAACCCAACTACATGATAAAACCTTCAAATTTTGATCCATTCTTACCATTGACTTTCCCTAAGCCTGGAGCTTTATTTTTCAGCAGTGTCACTTGTATCTGTGGAATATTGGTGATGTTTGAGTTCAAAACAAATTTGAAGTCCACATGTCCAACCATACAAGCTTTAGGTAGAACCAATTCAAATACATGTTCATCCCAGCTGTTGCTGTCAAATAAGGGAGAAAATGATAGAGTGAAATCTTTCTTAAGCTGTAACCATCTTATCACTAATATTACCTTTCATACTCTCATGTGCAGTCTCCAACAAAACCGAATGTTTCTCAGTGGGATTATGGGAGAAGACAAGCAGTTCTACTGAGAAAAGTTAAACTTAGGGCAATGAAGAATCTTACCTCAGGAATCCATACCTGCCTTGGGCACTGTATACTCCAAAAAGCCCTTGTTCCTCTTAAGTGTGAAATACTGTGCATCAGAATTATGTGCAGACTTATGGGCCCACCCTGATTTAAGAGTGGGGTCACAGGAATTTGGATTTTAAAATAAGAACATTTTGTATTTCTTATACATGTCCGTTCTCTGATTTAAATTCTGTATATGTGCTAAAAAGTAAAACTCCTCCACTAAATTTCAGATTCAAATCCAAATGCCTACCAGGTATCTCAAACTTAACATAAGTGACCCCAAACTACTTGATAACCAATTCTAAAAGCTGTAAAAAGAAATTCTATTTTTTAATGAGCTCAATCCAAAACATTAGTCATCCTTAACAATTCTCAGTCACATCAGATGCTCAGTAAACCAGCATGTGTGACTCCTTCTACCTCTAAGCTGTATCTGACCATTATCCTCACTGCCTCTGTCAATTATCATCACGGTCCAATTCACCATCACCACCACCACAATTATCTGAATTACCACAACAGCATTCAAGTTAGAATTCTCGCTTCTGCCTCTTCTCTGTAATACACACACCACAACCACTCATAACCTACTATCAACACAGTGGTCTTAGTATATCCTTCTAAAACATAAATCATATTGCATCACTCCTATATTCAAAACAATCTAACACCTTCCCATCTCACTCAACATGAAAGTCTCACTGTAGCCTGTAAAGACATTCATGATCTAGCTACCAACTATTTCCTTTGATCTCACTTCCTATCACTCTCCTCCATGTTCACTGCACTTAACCAGTAGCCTCCATGCTCCTCCTAAAATTTGTAACATATACTCCTCAGGATCCCTGTACTTTCTATTGTCTCCAAATTAATGTCCTCATGGAAGCCTTTCTGAGACCCCTTATATAAACATATCACACACATTTTCTCTCACACACAGGTGCACACCCAACAACTCTATCGCCATTCTGTTTTAATGTGTTTCAAAGCTTTTATGACTATATGACATAGTAGATATCTGTCTCAACTGCCTGTCTATCACCACTAGAATGTAAATTTCATAAGAGCCATTTTACTAGTACCTTCCAAAGTGCCTGCACAACTGGGAGACTGGGATTAACATATACACACTACTATGTAACTATACAGCACAGGAACTCTACTCAATACTCGTAATGTCCTATATGGGAAAGAATCTTAAAAAAAAGAGTGGGTATATGTATACCTGATCACTCTGCAGTACAGCTGAAACTTAACACATTGTAAACCGACTACACTTCAACAGAAAAAAAAAAATGTTTTTAAAAAGGGAACACATATTAGCAACAACAAAAAAAGAAGTACCTGTACAAAACAAACATCTAAATATTTAGTCACACAATCTACAGATCTATTTAACAAACTAAATGGAAGGAGGGATTACTCTCAGCATTTTATCCTACAACTAAGAATAAGCATACAGGAATTTCTAGGCTTCCTCGATGGTTCAGTGGTAAAGCAGGAGACACTGGTTAGATTCCTAATCAAGAAGATCCCACCATGCCATGGAGCAACTAAGTCCATGTATCAAAACTATTGAACCTGTAACCTAAAGTTTGAGAATTACAACTACTGAGACCACGTACCACAACTACAGACACCCACACACCCTAAAGTCCATGCACCACAACAAGAAAAGCCACTGCAATGAGAAGCCCACACACTGCAACTACAGAGCAGCCCCTACCTGCAACTAGAAAGTCCACGCAGCAACGAAGACCCAGCACAGTCAAAAATAAACGCTTTTTTAAAAAAGAATATAGGAATTTACAAAACCAAGGTGACAAATGAAACAAACAAAACTGTTAATATGCAAAAGCTAACAGAAAGAGTAACATATATATAATAATTCTATGTTGTCACTGTAAGATGAACTTAAAACTTAACTGAAATTAAATACCTTGGAAGGATGTTTTACCTGTCAGTCTGTAGTTTCCAAGTTCTAGTATGCTGAGCAGCATCCCCATGATGCTGCTGATGCAAATGTTGAGGATGCCTCCTTTGCTGCTGTTCTTGCTGAACTTCCACCCAGCAGGGCGGAACAGTAGCTGAAAACCGTGGCGTCAAAGTCTCAAAGCGGGTTAGCTCCACTAGAGATGTCAAGATGTCAACGGTGAAGGGCTGGTCCACCAATAAATCAACTCCTTAATAAGAGTGAATGCAGAGTTTGAAATTGGTTTTAAAAGAAACAAATTTTAATCCATGTTTTTGTCTATTCAATTACAACATTTGCCAAATAGCCTTAAAACGTAGGCTAAAATAACTAGCACTAAGTCCATAAGGTATAAGAAAAATCCACCTCAAATATTTTAAATTATAGAAAGGGAACTTATTATTGGAGAAACCCAAAATCAACCTCAGAAGAGCCCTAACCAAGATTTAATGAGCCCCAGATTAACAAGGGCAACAAAAGGAGTGGTGCTGAAATGTAAGCCCTGACTTACATCAATAATTAACTTTTACATTTTGTTATTTACAAAACACAATGTTAAACATCTGCAAGCACACAATACCTGCTCCTTTTTACTCTGTTAAAAAGTAAGTTAAAAAAAAAATCAAAGCTATACTGATGGCAAAAAAACAGAAACCAAAAACTCAAAGCAGTATTTTTTCCACTTCTAGGGTACTTAAGAATACCATGTACACATACCAGTACTGTAAGAGTAACAACCTGATTCAGAGAGATAAGTTTGCTTTTACAAATATATGTATTCACATCTTTGGAAAGGCTAACATATGACAAAGCTGAAAAACTTGTTTCAATTAACAACAAAAAAAATTTTAAAGACTAAAATATGAAATCTGATAAATTTAGAATAGTTTCACAAAGAAAAGTTTACATTTAGTTCTATAAAATTACTATAAGTGTATTCAAAGTATGTTTTTCCTCAAAGCTTCAGTTCAGCTCAGTTCAGTCACTCAGTCATGTCCAACTCTTTGCGACCCCATGGACTGCAGCTCACCAGGCCTCCAGGTCCATCACCAAATCCCAGAGTTTACTCAAACTCATGTCCTTTGAGTTGGTGATGCCATCCAACCACCTCATCCTCTGTCGTCCCCTTCTCCTCCCACCATCAATCTTCCCCAGCATCAGGGTCTTTTCAAATGAGTCAGCCCTTCGCATAAGGTGGCCAAAGTATTGGAGTTTCAGCTTCAGCATCAGTCCTTCCAATGAATATTCAGGACTGATTTCCTTTAGGATGGACTGGTTGGATTTCCTTGCAGTCCAAGAGACTATCAAGAGTCTTCCCCAACACCACAGTTCAAAAACAAAGGGCTTTTTAGAAGCCCTCAAAGCTTAGGGCTTTTTAAAAAATGACTGAAGCTATTAATATTGTTGGCAAACATTTAACAGCATATCAATGCTCCTTTACATTATTTACTTGTTTATAACCTAATTTATCTTTACTAAAGAGTATATTATGGGTTTTATATGAAAATTATTATGCTAATATCCCATAAAATATGAAAACATTCAGTATGTTAGCTTTTTAAACCAACTTGTATAGTTAATCAAGACAAGCAAGTCCAATTATACATAGCAAGAGACATGAGTCACTTTATCTCAACAGAGGATAATCCTGCCTCCCAAGGGCCATATGGATGGAGGCAACTGTGTCTACGACTGGAATCGAGTAGGTAGAAGCTACATACATGGCTAATACAGCACAAGACAGACTCCCACCACGAAGAATTACCTAGTCTGAAATGTCAACAGTGCTGAGAGTGAGAAACCCTGAAATAAGGTACATATCACACAAGTAATCACTAAAATTAAGACTTATCACACCAGTAATCACGCAAAGTTTGCCTTTAGTGCAAAGAAGAATGATCAAATTCCTAAATGTACAGATTCACAAAAAAGAAATAATTTTGGGTGCTATTTCTGATTGGAATACATTTGAGTTTAAACACATTTTTCATTAAAGATTCATTAAATTTCTTTTAAATGCTGCTGCTAAGTCACTTCAGTCATGTCCAACTCTGTGCAACCCCACAGACGGCAGCCCACCAGGCTCCTCTGTCCCTGGGATTCTCCAGGCAAGAATACCGGAGTGGGTTGCCATTTCCTTCTCCAATGCATGCATGCTAAGGCACTTCAGCTGTGTCCAACTCTGTGAGACCCCACAGACGGCAGCCCACCAGGCTCTTCTGTCCACGGGATTCTCTAGGCAAGAATGCTGGAATGGGTTGCCATTTCCTCCTCCCTTTTAAATGCTAGGTTTCTTTTAATAGTTAGGTTGGGGAATAAAGTGTGGTAGGTGCCAAGGATAAAATATACCAGCACGTGGAAGTACAAAAGGACCGTGGTATAGGGCAAGGGCAGGGAAGGAGAGCTTAGTAACAAATGAAGAGCATGAAGCTGAATACACTTTAGAAATCATGGAGAGTTTCCAATGACTGGAGGTTGAGTGGAAGACCAGAGTTACTAGTCCACAGAGCACATAAAAGATTTTTAAGCAGGAGTAACAATGCTAACAACCTCCTGAAAAACAAGTTCAGGGGGCAGTACATGGAGAAAAGGCAAAATGGGAGAAACCACAAACAAAACCTAATCCATCTGAAAGTTCACAACAGGGTGACGAGGGTCTGAAAATATCACCCCAAGGAAAGCATATTTTTTCAGCATTTCTATTCCAGAAGTAACTAATATTAGCCATTTCAGTTACTTTACACTTACTCAGTGAATTCTTCACTCTTTCATACTGTTTTGTGCCATCCTAACTACACTAAAAGTTTCTTCAACAACCAAAATCATGCTGTTACCTCTTAGGCGACTTTACCAAAACTAGTCAACTTACCACAGGTTGAGAACCACTTCTTATTTTAATGTTTACAACATTTTCCAACTACTGAAAACAGAGTGATAAATAACATACAAAAACATGTCTGATAAAAGAATATCAACAAGGAAATGAACTCTCTCAAAGTAACCAAGAATTGACTACAAAAAATTAAATAATGTTTTAGATTATAAAAGAGTGATTCAGAAAACTTTGAACATCACAAGAATTTGCATTTTTAAAAAATCATTTTTAAAAGTTAACATCATACCTGAAATGCCAGGACTTGAAGGATTTGATAAAGGTTTGGAACCTTCTGAAGACGGCTCTATTCCTTTAGAAAGAGATCCATCCACTAGTATGTCAGCTTCATCAATATCATCACAGGTTCCTCCAATTTGGAGAAAATGAAGCTCACCACCTACAGTACAGTTAAATCCCATCAACACAGGTATATGAAAAATAGGTAAACAGACAAGTGCTTGCTACTTAGTTAAGAAACTTAATTTATTCTAACACCACTTAAAAGGCAGAAAAAGAGGGCTACCAAAGTGATACATCTCCAACAACTTAGAAATCAAATTGTCATGGAATTACAATTTCATATGTGAAAATAGTTATTTATCTAGTACTTACATGTGTAAGGCATTATTTTAAATGCTTAATTCATTTATACTTCACAAATAACCTAAAGTAGGGAGTATGTGTCCACTTTACAGATGAGAAAACTGATGCACTAGCTATACTGGAATCCACAGCCTACTCTCTTAATCAAGCAATAGCAAAAGTGAACAACAATTCTTCTTAATTTTTTGAAGCATTCACAAGAAAATGAAACCAAATCAAATTTCTATTTTCCATATTTCTACCACAGAAAAAAATGCAAAGTGAGCTTAGCAAAATATTTAAGAAATAAAAATAAGTAAATAATTGGAGATTTACTTCCAACATGACAAAATAAGAGAAATCTTACTCTTAAAAGGCAATTATAAAATTGAACAAATTGTCATTTAAACAGAGTGAGTCAAATGGTGAAAACCAGATTTGCTAATACTGTCACAAGGACTCAATGACTTGCTATCTGAATCCAGCATTCTGTGTGGGGCAAGCAAAACACCAGAACTAACCAGGGATTTAACAGAGTTACAGAAAGTGAGAGAAACATAGGGGGCTTGGTAAACATCTCAAATATTCCACACTGATCAGAGGTTGCACATATGTGCAGATCAGATGGGGCCCAAGTCATCAACATATTCCCAGTCTACTAAGCCCCAAAGCTTATGCAGAAAAGACCTGAAAGGGCACAAGAGAAAATAAAAATAAAGAAAACAAAAGCCAGGGCACACTTGAACACAACCTTGCCAAAGGTATCTGGTCACAACCAATTATCAAAATCTTTAGCTGAACACTAAACTATGTGGACAGACAGGTAACAAATAAGAAACAAGTCTTTAAAAACCAGAGTAGAAAACAATGAAAGAGACATCAGTAGCTGCAAAAGAAACAGACTTCACAGATATAGTCCAGGTGGGTTACCAAACAATCACATAACAATTCCCAAACGGGGGTGGGGGTGTAAATCAGAATGCAGACGTTCTACAATGTTATTTTAAATGTCCAGTATTAAACTGAAAATTATGAAACATGTGAAGAGTGACCCATGTTCAAGAAAAACAAAAGCAATGAGAAATCTCTCTGGGCACCCAGATTTAGAGACAAATACGTCAAAGAAGCTGTTGTAAATATTTTAAATAATAAAAGGACATCAGGTATAAAGAATTCAAAAAATGAACGGTAAAAATGAATCAACAAATCATATAAAAAAATTAGCAGAAATTATTTTTAAAGAACAAAAGGCAATTCTTAGAATTGAAAAGTAACTAAAATGAAAAGTTTGCTAGAGACTCAATGCAGATTTGAGATGACAGAAGAAGGTATCAGTGAAATAAAAACAGATCAATAGTTGCATGTTACATATGAAAATTGTTAAGAGTAAATCCTAAGAGTTCTCATCAAAAAATAATAATAGATCAACAGAAGTAACAACAGAATAATAGGTGCAGAAACAATCAATAATTTTACATACAACATCTTTCCTCAAAAATGAATGTGAAATAGAGACATTTCCAAATAAACAAAGACTGAGTTTTCTGCTAGCCTTACCATAAGTACTAACAAAAGTCTTTCCAGATGAGCTGAAGGCAACACACACACACACAAAAACAAAACGCCAAAAGTAGGTGAACATACTTTTTTCTCATTTAACTTTTTTAAAAGATAAAGACTATATGAAATAACATTTTTTGGTTGGATTTATAACTCATCTAAATGTAATATATAAGACAACAGTAGCACAAAGCTGAGAGAGAGAAAAATCAGAGCCAAGTTTCTGTATTTTACTAGATTTAAACTAGCATTACTCTGAAGTAGACTGTGATAATCCAATAAGAAGACAATTTCAAGAAAAGGTATTAAAAAACAGAATCAACACAAGCACCAGTGACATCACATCAAAGGACAGAACAGGAAGTAATTGGTAGGAAGCGCTAGAGGTCAGTAGTACCATACTTCCACGGCAGGGAGTATGGGTTCAATCCCTGACTGAGGAACTAAGATCCCATATCCCACATGCTGTGCAAAAAAAGTTAATTTATAGCACTAATTGTAGGCTTTAATTAACAGACTCAATGTTTCTCCATGAGAAAAGTTTTATGCGATTTGAATATACTTACGAGACAGTGTCAAATCCATTCGATTTACAGTTTACAGTGCTTTTAAAATTCTACTTTATGGATTGTTATTTGAACATTTTAAAGCAACTTTTTTGTCCTCTTTATTGCTATTAATCTCATCTTTTCAAATGCATCTTGATCAATTAATCCTTAAGCAACTGGGGAATAATTTTTAAAGCAATTAACTTCTCATGTTTTCTCTTGTCCTTCAATTCATCTGAATTCCATCACAATCATGATCACTTCCTAGAAATTGTCATTGTTTAAACTCCAATGAAAACAGTGATCGATAACTTAAATGTTGTTTCTCTTCTGAATCGCCAAAATCATCTCTCATCAAAAATTCAAATCATTAAACTCTGATTGCATTTGTGAAAACTACTAGCATCTTATGACTACAAGCCCTGGGAACAGGTCACTCAGATTCCAAAACCACTTCCATTTCGAATGGCCTACAGCAAGTTAAACTGTTTTCATTTTTTTTAATCTTTCAGATTAAACTATACCAAAAAGTTCACAGTATAAAAAGTTCAATAAAAGCAGGGTCTCCTACTTTTATTATATTCTGGCAATTTAATGTAGTTTAAGCATTCTGATGATGACAGACTGCCCAGGTCTGAACGCTAACTCTGTCATTTATTAGCTCTATGACTTAGGCAAGTTAAGTTACTTAACCTCTCTTTCCCTCAGTTCCTTTTTTTTTTTTTTTGAGATAACTAAAATGAAGACAAAACTAGTACATACCTCATAAAGTTAGTGTGATAACTAAAATTAACAAAACTAAAACTCTCACAGAAATGAACTGGCATATACATGATTAAGCTCAAATTATCCTTGATACCACATAGTATTTTAATGATATTTTTGAAAGTTTCATTACTCTAAAGCTATTTTAAACTATTCCTTTTTTTAAAAATAATCTAGTTGGATGTTGATGTTATTTGGCTTTTCCCCCCAAGTTATTTCACTAAATGTTTCAAAGAAAGCAATCCATATCACCACATCCACCATTATCCTTCTTAGCCAAACTCTTGAAATCTTTTTAAAGAGAGGAAAAATTCAGATTGATTCCTATCAGAACCATGAATGAGATGCATAACTCTTCCCAAACCCAATTTTTCTGCCAAGCACTAGTTATAGTCACTGAGGCTTCAAGTATCTCCTGGTCCTAAATTCCTACTAAACAATCAATAGGATTATTCACTTTGCCTGATAAGGTCAGTAATTCCTTAGTAACACTACCTGTTACTCTACAAGAAGCCTCAAATATTGCAAAACTGATTCACTGTCTGCAAAAAGTTAGGATTAAATATGACAAGGAACACTTATTTGGCAGAATTAATAATTATTTACCACTTTTATTTCAGAAGAAAATAACAACATGTAATAATATTTGTGCCAGAAACTTTACATACATTATTTCATTTAATTCTGTCAAGCCTGGAAATAGACTGTCTGTCCTAGTTTATACATCAACAAAAGTTTACTGAGTTTAAAGTAATTTGTTCAAGGCTACAAATTTGAGCAGATGCAGCTGGGACTCACAGAAATTACAGCAGGTTATTTTCTTGTGGTTAAAGCAGTAAAGATATTTTCTGAGAGACTTACTAACTTATTTACAATTAGAATCCTTGCCAAGGGCAGTAGAAAAGTGTTTTGAGAACAGGTAAAACAGTACAAAGACCTACCACTTCATTATAAACATAATTTCTCTCCATCTATATGATCCACACCAGGCATGCACATGAGTGAATGCCCTGCACACTGCCTCCCTACGACTGACAGAGCAGCAGACAGGCCCGCAGCTTACCTTTGGTGCACGCACACAGCCTGTCTGTGCCCGAGCAGTAAATGACGGAAACGAACGCGTCCTGTTCCTCGGTGCCCTCCTTTTTTGGAGGTTCCACTTTGGCCAAAATTTCAAAGTTTGAAAGATCTAGTATTTTTACATATCCTCCCTGAGTGGTTATGACCAGGTGTCCAAGAGTAGAAATATCAGACTTTTTTCCTCTCTCAACCCCGTTCTTTGAGGTTAACTGCATCTCCTCAAGAGGCTCCTCATAGTCATCCTCTCGGTTATCCAATATATCTGGTGGAAGCAAAATGAGCGAGGTAATTGTGTCCTGGGGATCTTTGATATGCTGGATTTTTATTGGCTCCTCTTCTAATGTCACTATCCGAGTGGCATAATTCATCTTATAAAGTATTAAATATCCACCACTAACGTTCCTCTGCTCAGGTTGAATTATCAAAGGAGTCTGTACATCTGCTGGTGATTCATGTTGAATTATACTAATATTTGCACCATTCACTGCAGCAAGATTTGATTCCAGCTCACCTTTCCGTCTATTACATAGTGCAGAGTTTAATTTATTTAAGTTATTCAAGGCCTCTACTTGATTTATTGCACTCAAGGATTCAACAGGGCATGTCCGCAGTCCTACCAATAAATGAATTCCATCAGCACAAGGAGTTATTGAGTCTATACAAAGATTCTCCTCCTCTGCAAACTTTGGCAGCCTCAAACACTGCACCAAAGTCCCAGGCTTGGGAAACACAGAGTTCCACTTCTCAGAATCTGGAGAGGTAAGGTTGGCTGCCGCATCTGCAAACTGCTGAATGTAAGTCACAGGCGGGTCCTGCAACAACAACTGCTCCTGACTATCCAGCTCCATTTCAATGATCTGTGGAACTGTAAAACCATCATCATGCAAACTTTTACTCATTATATTGTTCATCTGTGAAAAGATTTTTCCTGCTTTCTCATCAGATTCCTTGATGCTATAAAGAAGCAAAATGGGTAAAGTCCTCCTTACCAGAGGAGAATTTAATTCTGAGTTAGTGCAGGATTCATTGTCAGTTGACCCTTGTTCTGATATACTTTCACCCTGAGTTCTGCTTAAACCATCCAGTGACCTGTGAGAATTACTACTAATGGGTGAGGTAGCAGGAGATTTATAGGTTAATAAACCTCCAGCTAATAAACACGGAAAGGGAATGTTATGTTGTTCCTGGTGCTTCTCCTTTGTCTTTTCACTCTTAGAGCTGGTTAAGCAAGGATTTGCCCCAAGTTCTTCAAGATCCTTAACAGTATCTTCAAGCACATTTGCAACAATCTCCCACTGAAGCTTTTCTGGCTGCTGGAGGATGCTGAGTGCTGTTATATCAAGGCTCACTTCCATGGCTTCCTTCTGTGATGTATGCCCTTTGAAAAGGAACAGTATTCATTACAAATGACCTTGTGAATGTAAATCAAAATCTGTAGTATAACAGTTTCATTAATTTTCTTTTAATCATCCAGTCAGTGCATTTTAAACACATTAATGGAAGAATTTAGTCCTTTTAAAGGAAATTTAATCCAAGCTGAGATGAACCTACTCAGAAAAACCATAGATATTAAAGAGTCTCAAAAATCATTTTCAATTTACAGTACATTCTCCTGGCAATCTGTGAACAAAATCCTTTTTAAAAAAAAGAGAGAGAGAGAGAGAATAAACAGATTAAGAATGAAGATATTATTAATATCATAATAACAGACTTCTGCCCTTTAATTCTACACCAAAAATACACTCAAAACTATGCATCTGTCCTTTATGCACTTTGCAGAATATCCATGAAACATTACTATAATCTCAGTTCATCACCTCTTTCCCACTCCACATGCTAATTATCAGCTGACTGTCTTAGTATGTAACAGTATGCAATTTAACTCAAACCTCAGCTCCGAAAAAATAATAACCAGAAAAAGTTTCCCAAATTTGTCATTTTAAGTGAAATATAAACATCTTCTGGGGCTTCTCTGGTGGCTCAGTGGTAAAGAATCTGCCTGCCAATGCAGGAGACACAGATTCGGTAGCTGGTGCAGGAAGACTCCACATGCCGTGGAGCAACTAAGCCCATGCACCATAACCTCTGAGCTTGCACACTAGGGCCTGGGACGACAACTAGCGCACCCACACTCCACAGCTACCGAAGCCCCCGTGCCCTAGAGACCATGTCCCACCATAAGAGAAGCCACCGCAATGAGAAGCCTAAGCACCACACCTAGAGGAAAGCTGTGCAGCAAAAAAGACCCAGGAGAGCCTAAATAAACAAACAATTTAAATGTCTTCTGTACTATCTGCTAATATTTAGTTCATTTCAAGTCAACTACATTACATTATTCCTTACTGACCTTTTGTTTATTGTGTGCTTCAAACTATCCCCTTCAAACAGAATAAAGGTCATTCCTCAGTCTCAATTCTCCAAAAATACCATCTCTCTCTACACAAAACCCTGAAGTAGATGTCAGTCAACCTCTAAACCAGGGATAATCTCTTGATACTAAACACAAAGTTTCAACTCATCCTTTATTTTTCTCAGTAGCACAGACTATCAGACAACAATCTATTACCAACGATAATATAAAAATCACTCTTCGTAACTTGGGGAAATGCAAAAAAAAAAAAAATGGAATTGGCTTTGCAATTTTAGATTAAGAAGAACACAGAAAAGAAAGGAAATAAGTATAACTCAAAGTAAGTGCACAGAAGTTTTACCCAAGTAAAGGAATGAACAAGAGAGATTTATGGAACACCAAACATTTGAGTTATACTGAAGCTCTGTTTATACAATTTTGTTAACCATTTCATAAACAGTATCTTCAAAATGCTAACAGCTTTATCAGGACTTCTTTATTTTCTAAGCAAAATCTTCTCACTTCATATAATGTCACTCTTGTCATCTAAAACAATATCCATGTCTCACTAAGCAGAAAAAACTTAGTTATAAACTTCACAATTTAATTGTACTAGTAAGTTGTTTACTTAACCACTCATTTGACTACATTCATGTGCAGTCTTTATATTGCCATGTAATAATTACACATATTTACTCTATGAATTCACTCATTTAAACATGAGGTTGAAAGCTGACAGTGATATTTTTATAACATGTAATAATACACTGTAACTAAACTGTAACTTACTTGATAAGTTATGATAGGAAATTGCCAAGAAAAAGCTATTTTAGTCTATGCACATTTTAAAAGAAAATAAACTACCTATAATTAGTTACATATATTAACCACAGTTAAGACAATATTCAAAGCAAAGGTCATGGGAGATGAGAATATCCATTAAAAAAGAAAATATAACAGGTAACATTACTACTCTGCTGCTTCTCAACTATTTAATCAATGTCTAGGACTCTACATTCCCCTTATAAGACTGGCAAAACACAATGACAACTGTCAATACTGTGATCTTTACTTGCCTCAGAATTTCTCAAACCAACTGGACCACAAAATAAGTTTTTACAAAACATACCTACAAATATCCTGCAGCATAATATTCTTCAGATAATAATACTGGGAAACCCTTCTCTACGCTGCTTATAGAGCTACTGTCAGCCCCACAGTTCTACCAGCCAACTTCCAGAGGTTTAAGTTACGCATATTCCTGAACCATCAAATTTCAATTTGAACTGTTCTTCAATCTCTTGCCAAACACTCTTCCCACTCTACAAAAGAAGGTGCACTCCTTAACTCTGATATGTGGACCAAAGAGCAAACCTGTCTTTCCTGTATCATCTAGATACTTTCAAAAATCATTAACTTTCAACTGAAAAACAGACAAAAGTCTCTTAAGTTTCCACTTACACTTTTGAAATTAAGAAATACAACCTATGATTCTTCAGATCATATCATTCAAATTGATGGGACGAGCTTAGAGCTAGTAAATGTAAGTTGTAAAACAGCATTACTTAATTTTTAGATACTTCAAGAAGACAATACATTTCCCAATAATATCACAAGCCTTCATAAAGTCACCAATAGTCTCTCAATATAAACTAGTTTAAAAGGTTATACATTTTTACTATAAATGAATGAACCACTTACAAATCCTCAAATAAGGCAAGTAAAAATTCTACACTGGAAGGATTTTTTTCTCATACCACAGCTACCTTTCAATACTACATAAGGACACCTCTCCCAACCTTACATGAGGTATCATAGAAAAGAGTCAACAAAAACATACAGTAATATTCTAGGTACCTGGAAGTGAAGTAAAGAGGACGACAGAATCTAAAGGAAGTGTGAAAAATCAAACAGGCATAGATGAAAAATATAAAGGTAGAAAAGGGATAAGGAAACAGTTCAATATGTAACAATTACAATTACAATAATATCTACTGAGATCCTTAGACCCAGACGAAAGAGCTAAGCAACAGCATACCAAGGAAAGGTTAAAGTTAGAATAAAAAACTTTAAGGGCAGAAAAAAGAGCATTTAGTTCAAACATTTCACGTTACATAGGAAAAACAGAAGCCCAGAGAGTTTAAGTGACTTGACAAGACTAAAGATTTATTTTGTAAGAGTTCAAGCTCTAACCAGATCTCCAGATAACCAATGACCAGGGTATTCTTGTCAGATTTTTAAAAATGCAATAGTAGCTTTTTCTTTGGCCAAGGGGTAACAAACTGGAAAAAGAGCACACTTCATCAGACTTCATTTTTAAATGCAATCAATTATTCTTTCCAGACCTAATTATACATTTGTGTATTATTCAGGGCAGTTTCCTACTTTCCTTAATTTTTTCATTATAAGAACTACCTTAAAAGACAAATGAAGGTGAATCTAAAAATCACTGCAGTATTCTGTTTGGTGGCTTTAAAAAAAATTTACAACAAATTAGAATTGACAGCATCTGTTACACTATACTAACTTTTGACATATAACTTTCAACAATCAAACTATCTAAAACCAAGTTTCCTCTAAAGAGATTTCTTAAGTTATGTATGTCCTTATTTCATGACAATGACATCAGAATACAGCTAGAATTTAATAATGGTCACTTCTTTAAAATAGTGGTTACTGCCCAAGTACTGCGCATCATGAATTTTAATCTTAGTAACCAAAATTATAAATAACAGATTTAAATATCACTATTTTATACAATAGAAAATGCAATCGGACTATAATAAATGACAGAGTTAGGATTTGAATTCTGATACAGTAGAACCTTTTTGAGATGCCTTGCCTATAACTACATTAAAATATGTAGACTTTTATACCCCTTTGCCCTAATATTTCATAGGGTTTCTTTTTGGGAATAAGAAATCACTAATTCATATTAATTAATTAGTAATGTAATGTAAATAATGTAAATGTAATGTAAATAAACATTACATTTATTTAACAACTCAATACAGTATACAAATAAACTGAACATATTTGGAAGAGTTTAATGTCACTGACTTATGTGACAGAGATTTAGTAAGATTCATTTTTAATTCCTTTGGCGCAAATAAGTACTATTTAAATTTTTAGTATGAAACTACATAACATTACTAATTTAAGATCTGATACGTAATATTTGAGTTTTCTTTGTATTATTAATGAAAATTTAGACTTTGTACTCAAAATACAGAATTATTTGGTATTTAGCTCTACCTAGAAACTATATAAATGCAAGGATATAAAAATAGATTATCTAACATTTTTTTACATACCTGTCACAGAATCTGATCTGGAATGCTCTTCACTGTCTGAATCCTCCAGTAAATCATCACTTTAAAAAGACAAATTAAAAATTTCCATTTCAAAATAAAGTACACATGAAAATGCAAAGTATAAAGTTACAACCATAGTTTTGTGTCTAAAACGTAAGCATCACACAACTAGCTTATATAAGTTGACTGAAACCCTGATTATGCTAATAGTGAATCATCTTAAAGCATTAAATAAATGCTTGCCTGAAATAAAGTGTGGTAATCTCTAAATATTTATAGACAAATCTGTAGGATTTCAACAACTGAATTGGTGTAGACAGGGACAGTTTGGGTAAATAAAATGGAAAAAAAAAAAAAAAAACAGCTAATAAAATCAAGCACAAGCTTCCAGTAGTAAAATTTTAATAACCACTCTATTACCAGGGATGGGCTTCCCTGGTAGCTCAGACAGTAAAGTGTCTGCCTGCAATGCGGGAGAGCCGGGTTCAATCCCTGTGTCGGGAAGATCCCCTGGAGAAGGAAATGGCAACCCACTCCAGTACTCTTGCCTGGAAAGTTCCATGGACTGAGGAATCTGATAGGCTACAGCCCACGGAGTCACAAAGAGTCGGACACGACTGAGCGACTTCACTTTCACTTTCCCAGGTGGCGCTAATGGTAAAGAACCTGCCTGCCAATGCAGAAAACAGAAGTGACGCAGGTTTGATCCCTGGGTCAGGAAGATCCCCTGGAGGAGGGCATGGCAAACCACTCCACTATTGTTGCCTGGAGAATCCCATGGACAGAAGAGCCTCATGGGCTACAGTCCAGAGGGTCGCAGAGTCAGACATGACTGAAGTGACTTAGCATTCTACTCCTGAATTCAGGAAAGGTATACCCTAAAACCAATTAGAATAGCGGAGTAAATATGTGTGTATAGAAGTGTTTTCACAGAAACACACATTCCATTTGTGTTTTGCTCTTGGTTTTATTTATTTAGTTAGTTTTTGCTTGTTTGGGAGGGGCTGTTAAGAACTCCTTAACAAGTAGGAAAACTACTACAACTTAAGAGTCAAGACAATAAGACAAAAAGCTGCTCTTTTGCTTTCATTCAAGTAGCCAAGAAATTGCCAGCCTCTCTCTTTGCACCCAATTTTATTCTCACTTTCCACTGTTAGCAGACAAGAAAAAAAGATATAATTACAGAGCACTCCAGCACAACATTAGGCTGTGTCTGAACGAACAATCAGCACATACTTTACAGTAGTTCTAAAATTTTGATAAACTACAAAAATTAAAAGATGCAGTTCCCAGAAAGGAAAAGTGATTCTCCCTTTTTGAAACAATACACTGCACATCCATCTGAAAGAACTAGGCATTTATAATGCTATTTTATATAAAATATAACCTGGCAATCTCCCTTAGAAATGCTTAAAGTAACGTCTGAAACTGGGGTGGGGAGATATTTGCTTAGATATTTTTGACAAAACTTCTGTGTTTTTTTCAACTGGTACTAATTACCATAACCAATTTTGTGCTGTAACTTAAAAATTTTTAAAAAGGATATGAAAAAGATAAGCTCCTAAGTTAGCCTTAAGCTATTCAAATACTAAATGGCTAGTCTCAGAAAAATAATAAAGATGCTTGGAAAAATATATCTTAAGAGGAAATATTAATGACTGGGAATTTATTCAAAATAAAGAAGTCCAAACCAAGAAAACACAGTAGATTTTGAGGATTTCTGCATCAAGAAAAAGTCAAATACTACCCATCTACACTTAAATAAAAGATAATCTAGTAGTAGTATATTTTAAAGACAGAATTCAGGTGTTCTGAAATTACTATGAATGTTAAACAGGGTTGCCAGATAATTGCCTTAATTAAACCACAAAAAAAAATGGCTTTATTGTGAAAGTTTTCAAAATAGTATTTTGAAAAATATTATTTCTTGACAGAAAAACACCCCTACTGCCATGTGATAAAATCATGAGTAAAACAACTGAACTGTACACTTAAAAGGGTGAACCTTAGGATAGGTAATGATGCATCAATAAATTTCTTTTAATCACATGGATTAAAAAAAACTACACACCTAAAGGTTAACATGACTTGGTGGTATGAAAATGGAGACTCCATTCAACTTACTTACAGATATTTTCCAACATTTTTACAAAAAGCACACATTTATAGCTGATCATTAAACAACGCACACAGTTAGACGCACCAGCCCTCCCTTCAGTGAAAAATCTGTATAACTTATAATAGTTGGCCTTTTGCATCCATGGTTCTGCATCTGCAGATTCAACTAACCATAGTTTGTGTAGTATTCACTTTAAAAAATAACTGGACTCACACAGTTCAACACTGAACTCATGCTGTTCAAGAGTCAACTATACTTACATAATAGACACTAAATTTACTAAAGTCTTTTAATGAAATAAAACCTTTTGCAAAGTAATAGACATGCAAAAAAATCTATGAATAAGTTTAAAATGCTTAGTTAAGATTATATGTGCTAATAGTACAGATGTATCTTAGTTTTGGTATATAACTAAGATATTCAACAATACAGCAACTTTAGAGTTAACTCAGGAAATTTTTGTCAATTTGAAAAACATAACATACAAATGAGGCATCTAGACAAAACGTTAATTCGTTAAATGTGTCATGAATCAGCCATGGATTTACATGTGTTCCCCATCCTGAATCCCCCTCCCACCTCCCTCCCCATCCCATCCCTCTGGGTCATCCCAGTGCACCACTACAATACTGTAAAGTAATTACCCTCCAACTAATAAAAACAAATGAAAAAAAAAATACAAGGCACACGAAAAAAAAAATTAAATGTGTCCTTGGGACTTCCCTGGTGATCCAGTGGTTAGGAATCCGCCTTCCAATGCAGGGTTCTCCGGTTCAATCCCTTGTCAGGGAACTGGGCAGTTAAGCCCATGCACCCACAACTAGACAGGCTGCATACAATAACTATGACTCGATGCAACCAAATAAATTAAAAATACATTAATTAAATTAAACACACCTGAAATAAATATTCTTCCTTAAATAAATTCAGAACAAAGACAAAACAAATGTTGCCTACTAAGTAGAAATAGACAAAAAACAATTTCTAAGCAAGCTACATTGTAATACTTTAAACTTCTTGATTAAGCTTTAATTAAGTTAATGTATTATTTCTCAAGTTAATGAAACACAGTATATTTTATATATATATACTATATCTTGTGCCTCAGAGGCAGAAGTAGTTTGATTCATTATATCCAATACCAATCCAACAGGAATCCTGCTGACCCTGGAGGAGAGGAAGCAGGGAGAACGGGTTTGAAGATCCACCTCTTCAGCTTCCTCCAACGGGTTTGAAGATCCACCTCTTCAGCTTCCTCCAACCACCAAAGTAATCTTTGTAATCTTCTACCCAAAGAGATTTTAAGTCTCTTAAAAAAGCAGGCAGAGGGATTATATCTCAATCCCAGCACACTAGCTCAGTGTGGACACCTGTCCACCAGAAATACTGGATATACGTTTACCTAAAATGTAAAACACTTTACCAAGGTGTGTGTGTGTGTGTGTGTGTGTGTTATCTGTACAATCTTAAAACTACATCTTGATTCAAATTTTAATCCTCAAATTACAAAACTCTTGAGTCAAAAGTTCTAATTAAAATCAGTATGTTCAGGACATGCCAATTTCATTAACTTCTATGAATAATTTTCCACTAATTTCTAAGAAAATCAGAGATCAAGCAGGATTCATTTTTAGTTCTACTGGCAAATATGGTCAAACTCAAGACAAGAATGGGCCAACTGCTTTCTCATTAAGCTCCCACAGGGACTTGAAATAACTGAGAACACCATGATGCTTTAATTCAGCCTGTTCCAGAGCTCAGACCACATTCATTTACAGACCCATAATTTCCACAAACTATTAGCAGAAGGGACTAGACATTTAATATGCAGTGAATTTGCCATTAAGTAATAAAAAAAATCTCCATTAGAAAAGTTTTACTACCAAACAAACAGTGAGGCAAAATGATTAAATCACTGTGGTGTAACACCAATCACACATCAGTAACACAAGAAGCCCTGCAAGTGAAATGACAGATCTCCATACAAGACATCTGATCACAGTTACGCAGGCTCCATTTCACATTACTGCCTTCAGAATCTTACAAAATGGTAGCAGCTATTGCTTAAGACCAGCTAAGCGGCTTATGGAACCCTTCATTCTGCCTCCATGGGACCATCGCAAATGTTGCTCTATAATCCAACCCAGTTCAGAGTTTACAACTGCAGCGCCTCTTGGGAAACAACTAGGTGACGTGGGATTATACTCTGACTCCCTCTCCCCTGCACAGACCTAATAGAGCCACAGAAATCATGAATCTCCAGAAAGGCTGAATGGAAGAGGATCCAGCACAAGTCTACCAGAATCTTTCACTGGCAGTGATTACTATACCTCAACTCACTGCTGACTACTAATACATTTAAATAAAATGAGATTATCTAGCCTAACCACAGATTATTTCACTATTGATTACCATTTCTATATTTTAGGTGCGAATGAAAGAAGGAAAAATGAACCAAATGATTCAACAGCTCTATGAAAAGATTTAGTAGAAAGTGAAATTACAAGTCTGATCCAAGGATTTCATTATTTAGAATTTATATTTCAATAGAGTGATTCTTCCATTGGTATGGATTGAGACAAAATAAAATATGTTTTACAGACTGTGGTGTTGATAAATGAAAATTTATTTCAGGAATTGTACTGTTCTTTCTTTCGGATTTCTAACCAGTGACACTCTCTCTAATCTCTTGATCAAATGCTGTCTCTTTAGAGTTAAGAGAATATACAATTTAGGAAGAGAAAACACTTAATTTCTATAAGTATTATTAAAACAAATTTACACACCTATCTCCTTCCAACTTTGGTATATCTGAGCAACTAGAGGAGTCTTCCAGCCATGCCAAAGTTGGTCTCCTGGATTCGACTGCCGAGTTTGGTTCTCCCGACAGAATAAGCTGTTGTACAATTGCTGGATCGTATGCATTAATTTCAAACTTTAAGTGCACCTAAACAAATAAATGAAAAGCCTAAATTTACAACTGATTTTTTTTCAGTTACTGATTTGTTCCTTCAAAATTAAAACATACCTTCATAAGTTTGGAAACATCCCATATACAGATCTTTCCTCGTTTTGTTGCAGCAGCTAAAAAGTGAGGGCAGCTCCCGGACCCAAAGCAAGATATTCGGTCAGTTCCATCCGTGCAAGGAAACTGTGCAGGACTTGTTGCAAGAGTGACCGACAATGGTACATTCTGTGTATGCTCACCTTTCACAAACGGGCAGTTTGGGGAATGTCTCTCATGTTCAGACCTTTACACAAATTAAAGAAGGGAAAGTTTACTTAGGAACTAAGCTGTTAAGTCTGTAACACTAAAAGAGAACTCTATTGATATTTTTTCTTTAAAAAAAAACAAAAAACAATGTAATTTAACCCTGAATATTCACTGGAAGGACTGTTGCTGAAGCTGAAGCTCCAATACTCTGGCCACCTGATACAAAGAGCCGACTCACTGGAAAAGACCTTGATGCTGGGAAAGACTGAAGGCAAAAGAAGGGGGTAGCAGATGATAAGACGGTTAGATAGCATCACCGACTCAATGAACATGAATTTGAGCAACCTCACGGAAATAGTGGAGGACACAGAAGCTTAGTGTGCTAAAGTTCACGGGGTCACAAAGAGACGGACATGACAGCAACTGAACAACAACAACATTCTTTAATTAAAGACTCAAATACCAAAAATTTCCACTTTACTGAGATTACTGTAACATATTAACCACTCACTTTAACAACACTGCACCTACAACTTACCTACATCCATATATAAATCCTGGACAATTTGTAATACAACAAGGTGTCTTACATAAATGCTCTTACATGGCATCTCCAGGCACATGATGTTTGAAATGGATTCCGTCATAGCTAAACCTTATTTTTTCTAACTTTATCCGAGTTTTAACTTTTTAATTAAAATGTTATTTAAATAAGTGACATTTGACTATATAAAATACAGCAAAAGATACACTTCAGGCCTAATATCCAACGCCAGTAATCTCCGATCCCACATCCAGATAGCCATGATTATACTCCTAAAATACTTTTATAAATTTATACCCTTATATATACATACAGTGGAGAAGGCAATGGCACCCCACTCCAGTACTCTTGCCTGGAAACTCCCATGGATGGAGGAGCCTGGTAGGCTGCGGTCCATGGAGTCGCTAAGAGTCGGACACGACTGAGCGACTTCACTTTCACTTTTCACTTTCATGCATTGGAGAAGGAAATGGCAACCCACTCCAGTGTTCTTGCTGGGAGAATCCCAGGGACGGGGGGATCCTGGTGGGCTGCTGTCTATGGGGTCGCACAGAGTTGGACACGACTGAAGTGACTTAGCAGCAGCATATACATACAGAATAAACAGTTTTGTTTACTTTAAATAAACAGCTTATTATACAGTTCATTCTACAACAGCTTTTTTGATATAATAATGTACTGATGATGATAAATAGAGAACTGTTCATTCCTTTAACTGCTGGATCAGTCAATTATATAAACATATTTTATTCATCTAGTCCCTTCCCAAAATGCATGTAAGATTTCCCAGTTTTTCACTACAGTGACCATTCGTGTTGTGCATAAGGTGGTACCTGATAAATCACATTATACAAATGTTTGCTACTATTACTATTTCTATTAGTAGGGCCTCAGGGTAGTTATGTAAAAGTGAGGTTCCAATACATGATCTCTAATGTTTAACCAAGTTCTCAAATTTTACACACCAGAACAGACTCCTTAGAATTACTTTAAAATTAGAAATGTAAATCATAAGGCCCTCCCTCCATGGACTCCCTAGTGATAAGCTGCCCACAAAAGAACAGGCTGAACTGCTGAATTTAATCATGCTTTTAAAATTTATTTTGTCATAGCCTTCTAGTTTTCAGTCAGAGTATACTTCCATTCTTTGGCGCTTCTAACATGTACAGACCTTGGGAAATCACAGACCTCAGAGATTCTGTATGCCAAGTGATATGACAGAGCACAGACAGCATTACCTCATTCTCTTAGAACAGAGGTAAAAACAGAGATGACAAAAGGCAAGAATATTAATATACAGATCAGAAAAAATAAGATATAGAAGCACATTCATAGAACTTAGCCTATCATGTTCAAAAACTCAAGACTCACCAAGGTTCATCAGTAGGTTCCCAACAAACGAGACATACACTACAAGTAAAACACATGGCTCTATCATCTCCAGATGAGGCAGGCTGCAAATTTGTAAGGAAAACAGAAAAGGTTCGTCAATATTAAAATAGCTTAACAAAAATTCTTCTAAATAAGTTCATAACTTTAGGTAAAATTCCATATTGAGGAAAAGAAAATTAGCCTATACTATTAATGTTAGGCTTCAACAATATACTTTTAATCCCCAAATGTTTATATATTTGCTGCTTTGTTTGAAAAATTTTGTTTCATCAGCAAACAACCACTGAATCAAATATGCAGACACACAGTCTCAATCTCTGGTCCAGCATCTTATACTTGTACTACTAAAGTATTTTAAACATAGTTACGTATACAAGAGGAAATAGTCTAACAGATTTATTCTAACAGAAAAACTGAATTCTATGCTACTATATAAGCAAGAATAAACATAATTTTTATGTCTAATAAAAAATGAAGTGAACATAATTCATGTAACATTCCTTAAGTAAGACACTTAGGACAAGATGATACATACATACATACATACATACATATATATATAAAATCAAAACCTGAACTGAAATATACCTTTGAAAACTAAAAATATTTTTGAGTACTCACTCTACTTAGTGTAAATATATTTTTTAGAAGACTGAAACTAATCAGCCCCTAATACAGGTGGAAGATTCTAGAAAACCTATGATTTGATCTCTTTGAAAAAAATGGAATCAATGAGCAACAACTCAACGGAAAAAATATCAAGCTGTGACTTAACAGAGGCTGTTATATGAAACAATACCAAAAAATAAGGAAGATAAATTATTAGGAAAAATAGTCCTTATTCAATCCTTAATTTAGGGAAATAATTTCAATAATTCTAATACTAGCTGGGCTCCAAACAAATCTATTTTTAACTGGAAATCTGATGGACTTTGAATCAAATCTTCAAATATCTTGGTTTTGTGATATACTCTTACTTTAAGATACTCCAAGAACACATCAAGGTAATGAAGGAATAATTATTCTTAATGTTCTTTATGACAATAACTTCAGTGTATCCAAAGTTTAATTTAGTTCCAAAATTAAATTATGTCTTATGTAAACTGACATGTAATTATTGATTTCTTAGTTTTTTAGCAATGGCTAAGCACTGGTGAGCCAGTCAACATTACTCAGTTGATGTTTCCTTTAATTGGTTTATTATGCCAATCTAAACTCATTTTTCTTAACTTGCTCTACTAACCTGGCTCTGTGAAGTTTTCTGTAACGTCCCATTCTCGTGTCTTTTTCTCACACCCATCCTTACACTGTACACCCTCCTCTTTTCCTACATGAAATGATGACTCTTTCCCCTAATTATTTCTCTTTCCACATTTCTTAATCAGTTCTTCAAAACATATGTATTCAGCTCACTGTACTACCTGCACTGCGGCCCCCACAGCTGTCTAACATGTGGGTGATTCGTATCCCAATAAAGTTAAAATCTCCAGAGTAACTGCCATGTACTGCTTTTATCGCACGATCTTAATAGATAAACTCCTCTGTCATGAATGCGTAAGTCAAAACTGAAAAACACACACCTAGAGAGAACACTTCTTGAGACACAAATCTGGAAAATACTGCCTGTTTGCTGATGATTATATATAAAAACAGATTAAATATAACATATATTAATATGCAATCTGCAAGAAAATAGTTATAAGGCATTAACTCAGTTTTTTTTTTAACCTTTTCACCTTTCATACACAGTATGTGATATAGGGAAGAGCCACTGAGTATTACGATCAAAGAAGGTGTAAGAACAAAACTCACACTACAGACACACAAGCACAGAGCCATGTCCGTAAAATAATATACATGCTGAAAAAGTATTAAACGCTGACAGTCTCACTAAAGGCTACAAAGTCATATGGAAAAACATTTTTCAACAGCCTTATTTACCTGATGATAAAATCCAGCTTGAGCCATGGGATCTGGCTGTGCCCATCTATACCCTACATGAGGCCATGAGGTAAACGTCTCCCGTCTGTTAGCTTCACTATACATCAATGATCTAAAAGTAAACATACTTTTTGTAACAAAAGTTAGGCATCAAATTACAGTGACACTACTACTTACCACTGAAGAAAAAAGCTTACTGGATTATCAACAAAAACTGGGAATGTTTAATGACCAAGTTCAAATTTGTATTATAAATTTGAAATATTAAGTTTTAGGAATTTCCCACAAACAGAAGAGGGATAAAGAAACATAAGATGGCTACAGCAGATAATTCCATGGGTAGATTAAATTAACCAATGTTGCATAATAGCGATCAAAGAGCAGAGAATCTGAAAATGTAGACGCACAGAACCCTATGCTTTCATCAAGTGACAAGTATGCATAAATGGATAAAATCACAGCCAAAGGAACAGTAGTTTTACCCCAATCATATCGAAAAAGTATATTCTAGTTTAAGTTTTTTTTAGGTAGAAAGGCAATTTATATGTTCTTTCTCGAGGGAAATCCTTTTCCAGGAAATCTGTACTTTTCAGGGGGTTATAAAAAAAAGGAAATCTTCACATATTTTCATTAAAATAATTAGCTCATTGAGACTGAACCTGTAACAACAATACCAGAATATCTTTTTAAAAGAGACTATCAAAATTAGAAAAAGTCCACACAGCTTCAAATAAGAAAGGACCAGTATGCAAAGTTCCTCTTCCTAACACAGAAGAGAAACTGATTCAATAAAAGAAAGTGGTAAAATTCATCACAATGAGACCAGAAAAATACTTTTATTTAAATTCTTCCCTTAAATTACTACATGGTTTCCTATAATATTGCTAATGAGATTTAGGTTTAACTCATAGTTGTGTCCTGATTTGGAAAAGAAAAAACAATTGTTTGATCAGGCTACAGTCATCTTCATGTATTCAGAACAGAAAATCTGTCCACTTAAGTTATACTACCAAAAACAGCAATAGCATCCAGTAGACCCTTACTTAAACCTCCAACAGACCTCAGAGTTCATCAAGATTTCTGTAAGGGTTCCTAGAATCATATTTAATGAAATAAAAACCACAGACTACATCAAAATTAGTATTTTGAGATATTTTAACACCTCCAGAAACACTGAAAATCCCATCTAAAGAATGCATTTTCTAAAACAAACAATTCACCACAGCTTACACCAATTTCTTTAGAAAGTCTCCTACTGATTGCAAAGAAAATAGCTCTGAAATTATAATCTAAAGATAGGAAGGGCTTTCAGACAAGAAACACTGATTCTAAGTACATATCCTTCCTTTTTTCCTCTTCTCCAGACATATGGCAAAGAATATTTTAATGATAGCCAAAGACATATTACATGACAGTTAAAATTAAAAAGGACAGTCTCTACACTTTGCCCAAAAGTTAGAGACACAGCAGGGTTACTATGGAATATAAAAATACTTCCCAAATGTTAACAACCAATAGAAGTTACGTACATAATAAAAAAAAACACTTCACAAAAAAGGGCAACTGATTAAGTAGTTTCAGTTTACAAAAGGATAAACTAAAAAATACTGCAAACTAATATAAGAGAATATGGGAATGCCCTGGTGGTCCAGTGGCTGGAACTCCACAGTTTAGCTGGTGAGAGCCCGGATTCAGTCCCTGGTTGGAGAACTAGCATCCCACAAGCCACGTGGCACAGCCAATTAAAAAAAAAAGAAAAAGCTATATTAAGATAACAGAAGTTAAAGGTTAACTCATTCACTAATATTTTTGCTACATCGGCACGTACTCTTTATAAATGTACTTCAGAAAAGAATATGAGCAGTTAAATTCACATTCAATGAAAAAGTGAAAATGCAAAATGCTACATGGGAAGGCAAATGTGAACTTATCAAAATCGCTAAATGTAGTAACTCAGCAAAACGTTTCTAAAGTTCAGTACTGATAAATATTTTCTCAAATAAAAATCATTTAAATTTTTCAATGAATGCACTACTGACTTTTAGTTTTCTATAAAACAGAACTCCAAGAAATCTCTATTGAAGAAAACAATGATTGAGGTATGACTTTTTTACACACTTTAAATCCTGGGCAGGTGGCATAAAAACCTTAATTCGAAACTGCCCTAGAAAAACAAAACAGACAAATAGCCCACAAAATTGCCCTTGAGTGCTTTTTTAGCTCTGCCCATTCTTTAAGAATATTTACCTATTTGGCTGCACTGGGTCTTCGTTGCGGCAGGCGGGGTCTTTAGTTGAGGCAAGCAAACTCTTAGCTGTGGATTATGAGGTCTAGTTTCCCCCTGAAAAGGGATCAAGCCCAGGCCCCTTGCAGGGGGAGCTCGGAGTCACAGTCCCTAGACCACCAGGGACGTCTCTTAACTCTGTCCATTTTGTAAGTAGGAAATAATATATGGCTCTTATATTCAAATTCTGGGACGGTCTTTTAATTTACCAAAATTTATGCCAAAGGTCACAAAATTGATCAAGGCAAAATAATTCTTATATATTGAATAGTTATAATATTAACAACTCAAATATTTACTAAGCAATTACAAAACTAGAATTTAAAAAATATAGCTTCATCATCCTCTTAAACACCTTCCAGGCACCAAAAGAAACTGTTTAACAATAGCAATTCAAGGAGTAGTTTACTTCATTTCAGTTTGTTTATTGAAATAAATCTGAGTGATTTTCAAAAATATTTTGAAATTTTTAAAATAATAATCAAATTTAAAGTTATTCTTTGTTAATCAAAACACTAGTCAATTCAATGTTACCGTCACATCTCTTTATAAGCAAGTTCATACCTGTCCACAGAACGGCCTGGCCCCACCCCAAGTTCTGGACGTGCACTAGGTAAGAGGTAAGACAATCTGTCCATCACCGAGGAAGCCACAGGTAAGGCAGCAACATTTTGATTTATTTTCTTAAGTTCATTCACAATGGCACTGGCAATGGACTTCAACACATGATGAGGAAGATGAAATGTAACTGTGGCCCACTGAAAGAAAACAGGAGTATAAGCAAAAGAAAACATACTCAATAGTTTCTACCAAAACCCTGATTTATACATTATAAGATAAATAACTCTTTATAGTCTCAAGTCAGTTTACTCCATTAATTTATAATTCAAAGTAAGAACCTGCAATAACATAAAAAATGAGATTAACCATCCTGAAAAAGAACGTTTAGACCCAGATGAGAGAGAAAAAAGGACTCTTGCTTTGTTTCTAGACCTCATCTGTTCATAGATTCAGAGCCTTTTGGTTGAAAGGGAGGCCAAGTCCCCTTGAGAAAGGATCCCACAACGATGCCCCAACTCTCCACTGCGAATCATACCCCAAGCCTTCCTCAAAGGCACCTGTGGACACTCACTACAGTCACTGCGCACTAGGGAATGGAAATGCTGTGTGATATTCCAGGCCCTACAAGAGAGTGACACTGAACTGACCTAAAATATCACTGCGGTCCATTCATCAAAGTGGAGACTTACGATGGTAAAGTGACTACCGGAATTTTGGCCCAAAGCTCAGTGAGCTCTGTGGATCCCCAGATCTATCTTGCAGCTATCTCTCTAGTTCCCAAATGTATAAGTGGAAATAGAGCAGGCAACTAGAAAAATTCCTACACTGTTCCTCTGATCCTCTTGGACTACTAAAGGAAGAAAGGTCAAGCATATAACTTTCATTTTTTTTCCTACAAAGCTACTAAACCACAGCAATACCACATTCTGAGGAAATTTATGAGATTAATGTCACATTAACAGACCTGACAGAGGGGTAATCAAACTACCTCAACTCCATTTAACTGACCGATCAGCCCATACAAAACGTAAATGGATCTTGAATGACGACCGTGGATTGTAAAATCAGATCATGACTTCAACTGCAGCTGATGTTTCAGATGAGGTATTTTTACTGAAGCAAATTAACAAATCCCTTGATATTTGGTAGGCAGTTACAATTCTGTCAGATACCTTTTTGTCTACACTAACTTTTAGGACCATCCAAAAGTAAGCTGCCTTTACCTGGCAGAAACAGTAAATCTGCAGTCTTACCCTAGGACTCATGCTCTTTACCAAAATCTAATCTGCAGAGATCCTGATCAACCCAACATCCTGCAGATCAGCACCTTGGTCTATTGTATTAGTAACATCACAGTAACTGGTCCAGATGAGGGGAAAGGAGCAAGGAACTTAAATGCCTTAGTACACATGCAAGCCAGAGAGAATCAGTATCCCCAGAAAATCTCAGGGTCCTAAAATCTCTGTGAAGCTTCTAAAGATCCAGTAGGCTAGACATGTCAGGATCTTTCCTCCAAGGTGAAAGAAAAGTTGCTACAACCATGAAAAAGAGGCACAATGCTCAGTGGGCCTAAGGAGATTTTGGACCCAGTGTTCAGCATGTTTGAGAATGTTGCTGTAACTCAATCATCAAATAATACATAAGGCACAGAATAAGAGGTTCCTCAGCACACCCAGGCTGAATCACAAGATGCTCTACAATGTGTATCTTGTGAGCATATTCAGTGACACCAGAAGTATCTGCTCCAAGTAAAGATGCTGTAGGGAGTCTCTGGGACAATAATGTAGCAGGATGCTAGGACAAAACCATGCCCTCTCCTGTAAACAATTCTTCTCTTGAGAAACAGCCCCTGGCCTCTTAGTAGTCAGTTCTGATAGAAATGTGTCTACCCATGGGACAAATGTGCATGCAATCAGAGCTGTCCCTCACAAACAGGTGTTATCTGATACACCAAATGTCTTACTGGGCATGAGGGCTAATATTCATTAAGCGGTTTACAAGAAACCAATCTTGAGAGAGTCGAAACAGCAATTCAGTGCTGAACCAGCTGAGTAATCAAGGAGCTGAGATTTCTACAATACCTGTTCTGACAATAGCCCCTTCTCATTCCACACTGATGGCTTCACAAGAACTCCCTATGATGGGATAATTGAGGAAGAAAACCTTTAGGTCTGACATACCGATGGTTCTCACATTATAAAAGTGCCGTACCAAAACAGATGGGTGCAGCACCACAGTCCTAGTCAGGACAGGGATGAAGGCAAATCTTTTCAGTGGGCAGAACTTCAACCAGTACATTGGACTGTTCTCTTTGTCTGGATTGAGAGGTGACCAGAAGTAAAGGTCCTCAATGATTAATGGACAGTGGCTAAGGTTTTGGCTGGATGTTCAGACATCTGGAAAGATCAGGACTGGAAGACTGTTAACAAGGAAGTCAAGGGTAAAGGTCTATGGACAGACCTCTCCAAATAAACACAGTATGAAAATATTTGTGAAATACGTGAATGCTCATCAAAAGGCATCCATTATAAAGGAAATGGGAAAATTATACACAGTATATGAATGTCACTCACCCTATCACCATAACCACGCCAGTGCTTGCTCAATGAACCTATATGCAAAATGCCATGGTAACAGAGACAGAGGGTATGCACAGGTCCAACATGAACTTGCTCTCACCAAGACTAAGCAGGCTAACTGCAGGTTAACCTGCCAATAGCAGATACCAAAGTTAAGCCACCAATGGGACACCGTTTTCCAGAAGAAACAGCCAATTACCTGATTGCAGGTTGATTATATTAGATTTCTTCCGTTATGGATGGGACAGCAATTTGTCTTCACTGTAGATATGTATTTTGACTCTGCATTTATCTGTTCTGCTCACAATGCTTCTGCCATATTAAACTACTACAAAGTATTCCATACAACTTTGCTTTTTGCTTCTCATTAAGAAAGCACTTCAAAGATGGGGGAGAGGGGCTTTGGGGTGGGGAGGTAGGGGAAGAGGTAGGGGGCAACAATGGGCTCTTGCCCTATGAAACTGAACCGTCTTACTGTGGTGTCTTACAGAAGGAGATGACCTGACAAAAAGGTGTGTGCCCTTCCAAAGACTCATTTTCAGTACTAATTGGGAGAGATGCTTAAAAGTCTGGAGTTCTAACCTTACAGGATTATGCATATGCTTTCAATCAACAAAAAACACATGACATAGCTTCTCCCAGCAGGGTTGCTATTATACTTAATAATTCATTCACAGCTTTTTTTTTTTAAGCTTTAGGCTCTAGAGGTTTTGTGACAAGGAAGGAATGTTCCACCAAGGGTCCACAATGGTTGCATTGAATTAAGTGTTAACACTGCTATCCAGCAATTTTAGGTTCCTCTTGTCACTGAGATCAAACCAGTGAATCCTAAAGGAAATCAACCCAGAATGTTCACTGGCAGGACTGATGCTGAAACTTTAGCTCCAATACTTTGCCACCTGATGCAAAGAGCCAATTCATTCAAAAAGACCCTGATGCTAGACAAGACTAGATGCAAAAGGAGAAGGGGGTGACAGGATGAGATGGTTGGATGGCATCACAGACTCAAGGGACATGAGTTGGAGCAAACTCCGGGAAATAGTGAAAGACAGGGGAGCCTGGTGTGCTGAAGTCCATGAGGTCGCAAAGAGTCAGTCGGACATGACTTAGTGACTGAACAACAATATACATTAAATCACTATAGTGTATACCTTAAAAAAAAAAAGTCACACTGTACAACAACAACTTGTCACTGAATCATCAGACAAAGTGGGTGGTACTTCTGCTGGTTGATATGATTAAAACTGACAGGGGAAACTGGATTGATGGAAAACAACAGAAGCAAGGAGAATTTAACTACAATCCAAGAGATTCTCCAAGGTGAATCCAATAAGCTCTTCCACATCCAATACACAAGAGTGAAAGGACAATTACAACAACTTAGCACAGCACCACAAAGAATCTGAATCCTGCAAGACTGAAGACTTAGGTCACTTGATGGTATAAAGACACCTGACCAGTTACATTGCTGGTTAAGGACAAAGGGAGTATGGAATAGCTAGGAGAAGGAGGTTGTAAATATCAAGAATATCATCTTTATATTATACACAACTACAGAAATGAGGGATATGGTAACTATATGTATTTTCTTCTCATTACATAAATGGGATAGATGGATGAAGATTTAGATAGATAAAGACACAGAGAGGTAACTCATTATTTTACAGAAGAATTTTTTGTTGTAGTTAATTTAGTGTTTAGGTTTAGAGGGGTTTAATCTAGGTTTAGTGTTGAGGTAGCACAGCTCTATTACCTAAACACTTGAAACTATAAATTTTAAGAGTAGCTAATTATCACCTACAGATGGATAAAATATCTTTTGAAACTTTGGGTCTGCCTATTCTGGGGACAGGATGAGACAAGCTTCATTTCATTTCCTCTTTAGGAACAGAGCCTCTTGTTAAGTAAAAGCATAACAATTTTGCTGCATGAAAGTTCAAACATGTATAGACGGTATGTATGGAGATGACAAGCAGCCAAAGGAGCAGACTGTGCCAGTTATTAAGCTACTGTCTCTCAGGTCCAAACCTAGCCTTTCCTCTCTTCTCAGTCATACTGGGGCTGGGATACTATAAACTATTATTTCTTCTTTACCAACCAGTTCCCTGACTGTTAAGTTCTGACAAAAGAACACAGGATGGAAACTGGAAAGCGTGATACGGGAAGACGACTTGCTTCTTGCTAAATTACTTGTCATTGCTGTCAACATCATGTTAGCAAAGGACCTGGTGGCAACAGTTGAGTCCTCTGATCTTTAGAGGTTTTTTTGTTCTGTTTTTTAGCACTCCGAGGACCAGTCTCATATATCTCCCTCAGAGGCACTAGCATCAGCCAAGTAGCGCCTCTCTTCAGAAATCTGAATCTCAGTTCATCAGGTTCCAAGCTCCTGAGGTTCCTACTGGATAACAACTCCACCTCAGGAGTCTGAAGTCCCAGATCCACAGAGGCTCTTCTCTTAAGTTTTCAAGGATATAGGTTCTGAAACCTGAACATCCTGTTCTTCAGACCAAAATGAGTGCTGCTTCCCACAGTTACCATCTGTGTTACCTCAGGGTTTGTTTTTTTTTCCACGTTTTTGGTTCTTACACATATTATGTCAATTTCTTACAATAAACTCTCTCTGTTGAAGTGCACAATGTGGTTTCTGTCCTTACTAAATAAAATGTGCCACTAATGGAATTAAGATTCATAAAATCATGGTGAATTTATAAAATAAACTTCAATATAATTAGGAAGAATGCAGATGATATACAAGCACTAATATGAAAAGATCCTCAATATACACTCTTCAATGAAAAAAAGCAAGCTATATGCTATAATCTGAATGGCTGTGTCTCCACAAAATGCATCTGCTGAAATTCTAACCCCAAATGGGAATCTATTAGCAGGTAGGGCCTTTGGAAGGTACTTAGGGTCATGAGGGTGGAGCCCTCTTTTATAAGAGGCTCCAGAGAGATCCTCTGCCTTTTTCACCATATAAGGACACAGTGAGAAGGTACCAGCAACATCCCAGAAAGAAGGACTTAACCAGAAGAAATACCACTCAGTCGGTGGTATTTCACTACAGCAATCCAAACAGACTGAGCAGTCCAAACGGTACATCACAGTATTTTAGTATAATTTCAACTGGACTTGAGAAAAAAGATACTTACAAAGGCAAAAATTTTTTAGAAAACAGCTTCTACTTTATATACTTCAATACAAAAATTGTATCTCTATTACATTTATAATTTTTTTAAAAATCTTAAAAGAAAAATGCAGGAGAATTAATGAAGTATAGCCAAGGATTTAATTCAAAGCACTATCTCCCACCCTAGGCATCAGTGCAGAGAGAACAGAGAAAGGCAGAAGTATGGAAGTGTTCTTTCTGTTATATCCCTAAACAAAGTAATTTTTTTTTAACTTCTTACCTTAGCAACTTTGTGGTTTGCTGCAGTCTCATGAGATGTATTTTTCAAACCATCTTTGAGCTGTGTGATGAACAAATCATAACCCTCCGTACTAGAAACATCTACCTTTTCTAAACATGCCGATAAGAGCTGTTGTGCCTAAATAAAAAAAGATGATCACAAAAAATTAACCACACCAAAAATGTTTAATTTGGATTCTTACACAAATATTTTAATTTTGAAAGGTACTACATGAAAATTTACTACTTTTACTTTGATTTTAAACAAACTTAGCTAACCAAATAATGATTTGCAAGGCTATTACAAAATTAAATGAGATAAAGCAATGTACTCAGCATAGTATCACATAGCAAAATCTCCATACATGGAAGTTTTCATAAAGCAAAGCAAGACAGAAAAAACTGGACACGCTGAAACTATCAACAAAAATAAAAGAGATAAAAATTTAAAGACAAATGCAAAGTCCCTCAGGGAGCTTTACTATGTAAAGCCGTAAGAGGAGTCACTAATTAAGTCATCAGGTAGTTAAAAAAAAGCCCTTTGCATTGTTACCCACATATTCAATATGAACTACATTAAATATAGAAATATATGGCCAATATATGGAAAAGAACACATCCACACTAGTCCAACCAAACCTAGGACCACACACTTTAGGCAAGACATTGAGAAACTAATGTGATACAGGAAAGGGTACCTGGGATGGTGGAAGAACTACGAACAGTATTACATGAACAAGACAACTATAATTATTTGTGTAAAAAGAAAGAAAACCAGCAACAGACATCACGAGCTGGCAAGGTGGGAGAGGTGGCAGAAGTAGGCTAAATATCTAGCTAAATATTGACTTCAGGGTCCATTTTATATAAATGTTCAACAATTTTATTGTAATTCTGTACTTCCTTCTTTTAAAACCCAATGGTTTGGTAACATCTTTCATTGTACACTACAATGCATAGAAGATATCAGCTTTATTAAGATATCATTAGGTCTAATTTCCTTAAAGTAGGAGGGGAAAAAATATTCAATACAAGTAGAACTAATTATAATTAATTTTCTGTCCAAAGATTTTAACATGCCCCCACATCAAGATATTCTGATGACAAAAAGATGGCTACTCTGTTTTCAAAACTCAGACCTTCAGCAAATGCTTTCAATATTAACACACTAGATGACTGTGATATGACACTGACCCACACAGTAACACTTTGCATGTCCTAAAAATGGGAAATAAGCTATACTGATTTTATCAACTAATCACATCCATCCACCAAACACAAAACAGTTAATAATCAACTAATTGGGATAAAAACAGAAATAATATCTCACTTTCTGGAGGAATACAACATCATAATCTCTTATATTTTTAAAATGATTTAAAGTCTGATAAATCTGAAAAATATAGTTTTAAATTACATGATATGAACATCAACATACACAAAATGATTTGTTAGGATACACTTATAAATTAAGTAATAAACATGTAACACAAAAAATATGTATGCTGAAATTTTAATCTGGCATTATTAAGAAACATGTTACATAGCCAAGATTACTGGTTGTCCATTAATATTTATTTCTTCTTTTTTAATATTAAAGAAAAAACCACCCCAGCTTAATGTGGCCATATGACTAAATTCTGGCCAATGAATTAACTGAATATGAAAACGGCACATGTGAAACAGTCTGTAAAAGAGAATAAGAAACGTGAAGGAGAGGGTGCAGAGAGAAGGGAAGGATGAGGGAGGGAGGGAAGAGGAAAAGGAAGGAAGGAAGGGGGGTAATGCCGGTGTGGCCCCGGGCCCTCTGCCCTCCCTCCCCTAAGACTGGGAGGTAATGAGACTTGAGGCAGCAGTCTTGGGCTCAAGACGGAAGCTCAGTGTTGCAGGAAGCAAAGCTGTCCCTAGACTTGGCCTTGTACTGTTACTAGAAAAAACTATCTTGTTTAAGCCATTGCATTTTGGGGTTTCTGTTAAAGTGGTTTAACCTGTACAATTCACAATTCCTTGTTTTTATAGGCGTATGTAGATAATATCCTCAAAGGACAACCTAATTTCATTTAACAACTAGTAAGTCTGAAACTACATTAAGTGGAAAAGCATACGGACACTTATTTCAACTTACCTCTGTGACAGGTAATTCAAGCTGAACCACATCATCTTGCTTTGAAACTGGAGTTTGCAGAGCAGTGTCTAACAACAAGATTCCATTAAGGTCCTTCCTACACCCTACTGCATAATCATCCACAAAAATTACTTTATCCACGGCAGAAATATACTGACATTTCACCTGTCCACCTGGTTTAGCTGTTAAAAGAACAAAAATTCAACACTGAAGATTTTAAGACCAATAGATCTTTTAAAATAAATGCTTACATGGCAACTAAATACCACATATAATCTTTGATTAGGAAAAGATTCTCTAAAGGGCATTATTAGAACTGATTAAATTGGAATATGTACTGTAGCTTAAAGTAACAATATGAAATTATCAGAACTTGAAAACTACATTGCTGATATGAAAGAAAATATCATTGTTCTTAGAAATAAACATAGAAATAGTAAAAGATAAAAGAATATGATATAATGCAACCTATTTACAAGTGAGCAAAAGTAGTATGTATGTATACATGAGGGAATGATAATCAAATGTGGTAAAACATTTAAAATATTAAAATTAGTGGAACTTGGTAAAGGTTATAGGGAAGTTATCTGTATTACATTACTTCAAAATAATTTGTTTGGAAAAAAAAATTTTAATATCCAATACTGTACAACCTTGTAAATCAACTATACTGCAATTAAAATAAATAAATATTCAGTATTTTTTTTACATCTTTCCCCCTTCCCCTACAAAAGTCATTAAGCATAAAGTCAATGTGGACAGTTTCTAGGTAATGACCTCAAAAGTTCTTTTGGGTTTTTATACCTAAGATATGCTTCCCAGGTGGGAAGATAGCTTCCCAGTCCCAGGTAGCACTAGTGGTAAAGAATAGGTCTGCCAATGCAGGAGATAGAAGCATAAATTCAATCCCTGGGTCGGGAAGGTTCCCTGGAAGAGGAAATGGCAACCTACTCCAGTATTCCTGCCTGGGAAATCCCATGGACAGAAGAGCTTAGCAGGTTATAGTCTCTGGGGTTGCAAACAGACAGACATGACTGGGTACACACACATACATATCTGAGATAAAATTATGGAAGATGGCTATAACGTAAGAGAACTAGTAAAGTTTCTTAGTTCAACTACCACTGAAAAACCAGTCAACTATTACCGAAGATCAATGTTCTCTGAAGTTTCTGCTGAATCAATATCAGAAGAGTATTTTAATAGAAAATGAATACATTAACCATAAAGTTTATCAGAATAAATTAAGAGCAGAATTTCAAGGAGTATTACAAAAGACAGCAAAACACGAAAGTTTTAAATATAAAACCAAAAAGCACAATTTGGAAAAGATAACACTAATTTCTACATTTTAATTTATAAGAAGACTAATGTTAAACACGGTCATGAATACAGTCTCTATAAAAAGACTTGAAAAAAATGATCAACTGTAAAATTTAATTGTACTAGTGAAGAAACTTCTCTGTGGCCAAGTAATTCTGCCACCAGTCAGTATACCTTATTCTAAACTCCCACCACAAGTCTACAGAACATTCCTGATCTTGGTACTGTTACTGCACAGCGATACAAAAGCAGAAAAGAGATAAATCAGGGCCCTACTCATCAATGTCTAGGGGGACTATAAAACATGTTATAATCAATGAATATTAGGGTTAGCTTTCTTAATCTCAGATTATTATAGCTCTCTCAAACTCTCGGAGGCATTACAAAACTGATTAGAAACTTATTCATTATCTACATAAGACAAAGAAACATTCATGGAATTTCTATAGTTCATTCTCAGATCTATTAGTTTGAAATGTATGTCAGCATATAGAAAAATAATCTCTGTAATTCAATAAAACAGGGATATTTACCTACCACTTCTCATCTCTAGGTAAAGCCACAAGAAATCATACAAACTATAGGAACTCAGAGTAAAATTATGTAAGAACTTGTAAAGATAGTTTCAAATTTTAAAAGACTATTCTTTTTTTTCAATAGAGGTTTTTGGTTCTCATGAAAATTCAGCAGAAGGCAGAGATTTCCCACATGTGCCATGCCTTCCACACATAACTGTAAAATCAAAAAAAAACAAACTACAAATTGTTTTGTTTTAGGGATAGGTCATTAGGTAAGGAGCTATAAAAACCATTTTTTTGTTAAAACTTTTACAGAGGTATAAAATGTGAAAATCTACACCAGGGTTTTCAACTGGGTTTCCATGCCACCGCAGAATTCAATAGATCAAAACAAAAAAAGTCAACACTGTTGTTTTAATTCCTTACATTATATAATTGAGCACTCAAAGCAATGCACAGTGACCAAACAGCCTTATTGGCAATGACTTCAGAAGTCTTTCAGGCCCACGGAGCATGTAACAGGACCATGTTTATTCAGACGAGTCCATTCCCAGTATTTTTGACCTGAGTTACAAAAGGCCATTTGTAAGCAGTGACTTGCTGTGCTGCGCAGCAGGAAGACAGTCAACTGATTATCAGCCATAATGCTGCTGCTGCTGCTAAGTCACATCAGTCGTGTCCGACTCTGTGCGACCCCATAGACGGAGACCACCAGGCTCCCGTCCCTGGGATTCTCCAGGCAAGAACACTGGAGTGGGTTGCCATTTCCTTCTCCAATGCATGAAAGTGAAAAGTGAAAGTGAAGTCACTCAGTCGTGTCCGACTCTTTGCGACCCCATGGACTGCAGCCCACCAGGCTCCTTCGTCCATGGGATTTCCCAGGCAAGAGTACTGGAGTAGGTTGCCATTGCCTTCTCCGAATATCACATGAAGATTGCATTAGATTTTTGTTTACAAGCATAAATTTACAATGAAATAGAAGCAGAAACAATGACTATAATGTTTTTGGAAGCTGCAAAGCTGACAGATGCATGTGAAATAACAGAACAGAAAATGATATTCTGTTAGCTAGCAGTGGGGGAAAAAGAAACTCAGTATATATCAAAATAAAGGGAGAGCAAAGAAGGAAAGAGGAATAAAGAAAGGAAGAGAAAGAAAGAAAAGAAGGAAACCAAAATGTGCATAACTTCATTCTAGCAGGTACAATAGTGAAGTAAAGCCAGGACTAAAAACATTATATTTTCCTATAATGGAAGACATTTATTTCCTCTCCCCTCTGCCTAGTTGGACAGCTGCTTCATAAGGAAAAAGGGAAAGGTTTATTTTCTATAAAATACAAAATAGTGTTTATTGTATTGGGGATACAAGCCCAAAATTATCCCCTTTGGGCCCAGAGGTATACCTGAGGTAAAGATAGCTACATTAAATGATGATATTTAAATGAACACTTATAAATAGAAAATCAAGTTAAACATTGTTAAAACTCTGAATACTCTGGACAAAGAAAAGATAATGGCAAAACTGAATGCCACAAGATTAGAACGCTAAATTTCAAATTCAGGACAAATATCTCCCAAACTAGACATCCTTATCCAATCAGTGTATGAGTTTGTTTTGATAATACAATAAACCTATGATTGTTTATAAAGTTTTACTTTTCTTGCACTTTTCCTAAAAAAGATACTATAAGATATTCTCTATCCACCAAAACATTAAATGTCTTCAGGATAAAACACAGTGTGAACAAAATGAGATAATGACAAAAGAGAAAGATTTTACCACTGGACCTTCTCTTTTATAAAAGTGAACTACAAATTCAATTGCAATTTGTTTGTACTTTCAAATCTCATTACTTTGTAACACTGTTCATTTGTACTATGNCTAGGTGAGTGATCACACCATTGTGATTATCTGGGTCATGAAGATCTTTTTTGTACAGTTCTTCTGTGTATTCTTGCCACCTCTTCTTAATATCTTCTGCTTCTGTTAGGTCCATACCATTTCTGTCCTTTATCGAACCCATCTTTGCCTGAAATGTTCTCTTGTTTACATCTACCCCCTAAACAAGTTCTAGATTTCTGTGAAGAAAAAATATCCTGCAATGAACAAAGAACATTTTAGAGAACTTTTCACCGACTTAACATGTTTGAGCAAGTCTTTTTTACCTAACAAAAAATAAGACCAAGGACACAAATTCTCTAATTTGGGAAAAAAATGAAATCCATGTGTGTTTAAGTGTGATCCAGAACTGAGTATTTGTACAGCAAAAAAAAGAAAAACAACAACAACAAGCATAGGTTTCACAATGGGAGGTAAAAATCAACATTTATTTTCAGTTATAAGAATAACAATTTTAAGTGCATAAAGGTCCATAACAGATATGAAGAAACGAAGAAACCTATGTTTGAGCTCTCAGTAAGAAAATATCTTTTCAAAATCTTGTATGAAACTATATGTTAATTATACTTTTATTCATATTGCTTTGTTTTATGGTTTTGGAAGTATTACTATGGAACACTGTCAACAAATTTTAATGCTGCAAATAACATTAATTAAAAAAAAAACTTATAACCTATATTTAAAATTCCCAAGGCTACCTTTAAAAAACTGAAGTCCCAATTTGACATAAACCAGTTATTCAACAGAAATTTATACTTCATTTACCCTATGAGTTTAAAATGCCTGAAGATAAATTTCTCAAAGTTTTTGAGGAAAATCAGCTAAGAAGTCATTCTTCAGTTTTTAAATAGAGGGGAAAAACTCTTACATCCACTCTATACCACATGTTGCACCTTGTTAGAAGACACTTGTAAAATGACTTTGAACCCTACACAGATAAAGTTTAAAAAGAAATTCAAGCAGAAAATTTAAGAGAAGAAACACTCAAATTCTTCCAGCTATACCAGATATAAGCAAACTTCCTATAAAAAGATCAAATAGTATTTAAGGCCTCATAAGGAACACTCAAATTTCCTCCAACTATACCAGATTATCACGGAGAAGGCAATGGCACCCCACTCCAGTACTCTTGCCTAGAAAATCCCATGGATGGAGGAGCCTGGTAGGCTGCAGTCCATGGGGTCGCCAAGAGTCGGACATGGCTGAGCGACTTCACTTTCACTTTTCACTTTTCTGCATTGGAGAAGGAAATGGCAACCCACTCCAGTGTTCTTGCCTGGAGAATCCCAGGGGTGGGATCACACATAGTCAGACACGACTGAAGTGACTTAGTAGTAGCAGCATACCAGATTATCAGCAAACTTCTTATAAAAAAATCAAATAGAATTTAAGGTCTTTTCTCACAATTACTCAACTCTGCCACTGTACTACAAAAGAAACAC